GATTAGATTGTATGATAAATCTGAGTTTATATATCTTATATATATATATATATATATATGTATATGTATGTATGTATAAGATAGAAGGATATATGTATGCATGCATGTCATTGATATTATTTTAATGAATGAATCTGTTTGGGGTGCGGAGAGGTGGGTAGATTTGTCTTCTGCTTTTCTGATTGCAAAGAAAAATAAAAGGAACAGATATGGGCTAACATTAAATAAACAGCTAGAAATGTTGATCGAGCGCAGTTATATCACAAATCAACAAGTACTATAACTCATAATATAAGGCCTGACATTAAATAAATGGATAGAAATATTAAGTTATATATTAGACCACAAAAGAACTTGAACTCATAATATATCACAACCCTTATAGAATAACTCCGCTGCAGAAAATCATGTTCAATTCATTCATTGCCTCTTATATGTCCATAATTGAAATATCCAGCCACTTAGTACCCGTCCATAAATGCCTAATTTCCGGTGTGAAAAAGGGACAACAAAAATAGTATACATCATTCGAAATCATGTTCTTTTTTTTTTTAATTTTAATTGAATGAATTTGACACCAACAATAATGGGGTATTTTCTCACAAACGCGTATTTTCATCCAAACTCACACGTAGTTATCTCTATCACGAATAATACTTCCATCACCTAATTCAATTTCACCCCAAAAATGGCACATCACATCATTGTAGCCCCCGTTTCCTACAATTATAAGAAACTGTTAGCCTAATTAATAGGTCCACATTTAAATTAAAAAAATGTTTACAATTATTCATGAAAAATTATATTTTAGGGCCACATCGATGAACATGATAATAGGATCAATAATTACGTTCAGTCACTAGCCAGACTGGTCCAATGAGAAATCTTTTCCACCACACACCTGCAGAATAAACACTAGTTTAAGAGAAAACTATTTTCTTAATACTTCATCAAATTTTTAATTTTATCTTTATACCTTTAAACATTTAGTTAAAAATTTATATCATAGCTTATATTTTTTAAAATTTAATTTATATTATTGAACTTTTTTGAGTGTTGATTAAATCAAGTCAAATAAAATTATATGACAGAAAAAATTCTAGTTGCAAGAAATATGTGAATTTCAAATTGAACTCTTAGATATGGTTTTAAAAGAAAAATGACAATCTAATCTCTTAAAATATCATAATTTCACTAAAGTCCTTGAAGATTTCTGTGTCAATAAATTTTAAAGTGAAAATATTATTTTATTTTTATTAAAAATAATAAATTCTAATTATAACATTTGTTTAAAAAATAATAACTTTTATTCTGTGAATCACAAGACTTGAATAAAAAATTACAACTTATTAAGTGTAATTCTTGTATTGAAATAACAAGCTCAATCACAACTTTTGCTCATGGAATAATAATTTTTGTTGTGTAAATTGTAAGAGTTGAATAAAAAAATTATAACTTATCAAGTATAATTTCTGTTATTAAAAAATAAGTTTTGAAAATAACAAGTCTTAATTGCAACTTTTGTTTAAAAATAACAACTTTTATTTAAAAAATGACAAGAATTGAACAAGAGATGATAACTTGTCAATAAGGATAAAATAATTTTTTTATTTTAAAATTTATTGGCACAAAAATCTTTGGGAACTTTAGTGAAATTATGGCATTTTAAGAAGATTATCATTTATATAATTAGGGAGATCTTATTGTCATTTTCCTTTTAAAATATATAGGCACTTGTTCAATATGATTGAAAATTAAATATGTTAACTTATAATGATTTATTGGACTTCATTTATTTAATTTTACACTGTAAGGTAAATGCACATATATATATTGATCAACAATCAAACAATAATAGGAGATTTAATTGAAATGCGAAGATTAGGATGAGCTTTAACAATGACTAATAACATATAAAATGGGAGATTTGAATTCAGTGATTGTACTTAATACATCTGAGCCATTAAAATTTAGATCAATGATTTGTATAAACTCATTCATTTATTAATTTAAAGTGAAATATGAATTCATAACTATTGATATGAATTTTAATAATTCAGGTGGTACAGGCACTGAATACTTATATTAAATACAGTCACCGAATCTAAATTCATAAAATAGGAGAATCAGGTTGCCAATATTCGCCATGTCTTACTCCTTCGGTTCTTGCATATATATCTTCAAGAAGCCATCATGTTCAGTGATTAATTCCTTGTTGTTATTTGATATTTATTTTATGTACTGTATTCATTAATAATTATGACTGCTATGAACATTTTATAAATTGTATCCTACTTCACGACACATTTAGACGCGTGTTTTCACTGTGTTTTCACGTCTTCGAGTTTGTCTTTGTTAATCGCGGTGCACTATATTAATTGGGAAAGGTTATTAATTTAATGCCTATTATTTTCTTTTGTTTTCCTTCTTTGTCCGTTTTATCATGTCAATGAACCATGAATGTGCTTCTTGCTCAGACCCCCCACATTTACTTTCAATGGCAATTTCTCTGGATCTAACATATATATTCATTTTTAATTAATAATAAACTAAGTTATCAGTTCATTGGAATTTGTGATTTGTTTCCTTCCTTTTCTATATTAAAGTAATTTTAATCTGTCTGTGTACATTATATTTATATGCTGTATGGTTATGGTTAGAAGTTAGAGCAGGAAAATGATGAACTCAAAGTACTCTACACTAATTCAAAAATCGAACTGAATCGAATGGTTGGATTAGTTGAATCGTTGACCAAAGTCATTAACAATTTGGTTTGAATTAAAAAATTATTTTCATAATTGAGTTAGATTGTAATAGAGTTGAATTAAAAACCAGAGCGATTTTTAAAAAATTAGACGGTTTTAAACATAATATGAAAAAAGATTAAAAAATTAAAGAAATTAAAAATTAAATCCTACTTAATTTTTTAATTAAGATGTTGGCAATTATAGATGGAAGTTCATTTTTAAGTATACACCTATCTAATTTAATCAAGATGCATCTATATTAGAGAAGTTATAAAAATATAATTTATAATATTATTAATTTACAATCATATTATGTCATTTTATTAACATATTGTAGATTTTTTCTTGTGCATATTTTATATATACATTTAATATTATTTATATTTAATTATTATATCACCGGTTTGTTTATTGGTCCAATCCGGTTAAATCAAATGAATCGTAAACTGTTAGCTTTTTCATTTTACTATCCAATTTGATTCTAAAAACATTGATACTCTACTTAGATTCCTAATTACGTTGTAAATGTGTTCATCTAATCTAATCAAAATTTTTTATATTACTTATCCTTGCTGAAAAGAAATCCCCTACGTTTATAATATTTAACGTATTTAGTGATTTAAAAGAAATAATAATACTCCCTCAATTCAATATCATAAGATATTTTTAATTAATTTACACTACCAATAAGTTAGTTAATAATATTTAAAATTATATATTTTTTCATATTTATACTTATTTAATTTATTGTCTCACCCATAAGAAAACCTTATTAAACACTATTAATGAAATTTATTTTTTGAATGATAATAATTAAATAGAGGGAGCATAGAATAATATGTGTGTGTGTGTGTGTGTGTGTGTGTTACACAATTACTTTTTTTTTTTTTTGGCTTCTCGCTAGAATGAAAGATACAATCGAAGTTTATTTTTGATTGTGCATATGTTTGTTATTAAAGATAAACTTATTCGAGGCATATTCGATGTCTCCTCATGATACATGATTCAAAGTTTTATTTGACATCTTGTGAGTAATTAGCACATTACATTAAACCTAATTTCATTTGTTATTTTTTAAGAAAATATAATCAATTAAACAAAATATCACTTCTTTTGTCTCAAATTATATGATACTTTAAAGCAAAATTTCACACATCAGTAAATTTCATTAAATATACTTACTAACTTTATTATTTTTAAAATAAAAATATAAATATTTAAAAATATCTGTCATTTAATATATTAAAAAGAAAGAGGGATGATAATTAAATAGAAAGAGAGAAAGAATAATATTAAAATAAATTTATTTAATAAAACTTAATAATTTTAAATAAACTTATATTTTGAAATATTGAATCTTTTCAAAAGTATTTTATAATTTAAGATGAAAGAATTATATTATATTATTTTTATTTTAAATTATAAGACACTCTTAAGGGAGATTTAACCTCTCAAAATATAAGATACTTTAAGAAAAATAAATTTTTATTAATGATACTTTTATACTATTACTCCTTTCACATGTTCTCCATCCTTAATATTTTTTGACAAATAAAATATTAAATTAATAATATTTTTAAAATTTTGTATTTTTATTTTAAAAAAATATGAGTGTAAATTATATTTAATAAGTTTTATTAATATATATAATTTTATCTTCAAAATAATTTATAATTTGAAACAGTAAGAGTATGAAGTTACTTGAGTTTTCAGGCCAAAATAATAATAATAATAATAAAAAAGTTGCACGAGTTTTTGTTTTTGAGAAGCAACACGCGAGGCGGCTTGGCTTCAAGTTGAATATAACAACTTCAAGCAACCCTGGTCCACCACCTTTGAGCGGGTCCTAGATATTACTTCATCTCAAGCGCAAAATTAATAGTATATAAAATTAAATTAAAATATATAAAATTCCAAAATTTCTATTTTATAAAACAAAAATGCCAAGGAAATGTGTAACAAATTAACACATAACATCGTTTTAGTAAATTTTTATCAATAATTACTACGTACAATTTAAAACACGAGCATTTGAGAAAAGAGAGATGATAATGTCCTCAAGGGAGAGATAAAAGCAGCAGAAATGAGAATTATATTATAAAAAACAAAACGGCATGAATTGAATTGAAAAGCACCCAATGTGATAATGGGAGGGCATTTTGGTAAATTCAAAAGAACTAATACTAATTACGACCATGATTGTAAGGTTAGAGAGTAGGGCTGTTGCTATATAAACACGCCTCATCCTTCAAAGTGCAAACCTTCTCTCCGTTCGAATTCGCATATCCTTTATCTCTTCCATCACTTTCTCCACAAAAACGTTATCGATTCCATTCAGTCCAATGGGTAACAGCTTAAGGTGCTGTCTGGCTTGCGTTCTTCCCTGCGGTGCTCTTGACTTGATCCGAATAGTCCATCTCAACGGCTTCGTTGAAGAACTCACCGGTCCCATCACTGCCGATGAAGTCCTCAAGGCCAATCCCAATCACGTCCTCACCAGACCTACCTCTCAGGGAGTCGTTCGCCGGATTCTCGTCCTCTCGCCGGACACCGAACTCAAGCGAGGCAGCATCTACTTCTTGATCCCCTCCTCCTCCGTCCCCGACAACAAGAAGACTTCTTCCTCCAAGAAGACCAAGATCATCCATAAGAAAACTGCTCCTCCTACTGATTTCTCCTCCCAAAGTGATGCGCGCCTCCCACTCTCCGCAGATATTGCCTCCTCCGAGAAGAAATCTTCCCGCCGGGATCGCCGGAGTGGCCATGCTGGAATCTGGAGGCCTCATTTAGAGAGTATCTCCGAGGACTAGCTAGTCCTTTTTTTTTTTTTTTAATTCCCACCCAAGGGGGTGGGGTTTGAGTTTGCCGGTGACGGAATCTGGCTTTCTTGGGGAACCAAAAATGGTTTCAATTATTGGAAGAGAGCGAAGAATGATGCACTCTCTTTTTTTCCCTTTTTGGCGTCCCTTTTGGAAAGAAATGTATGTGGGTTTTTGGTTTTGTGGATAAACAAAAATTTACCTTGTCAATTTTCATTTGTCTTTTGATTTTCTTTTGTTTTTGGCTGCTTATTCGATTGATACGATGCAACTGAAATTGATCAAGTTTTTATCTTTTCAGTTCTAAGGGGGGGGGGAACCACCGGAGATTCAAGATTTTGCCTTTTAAATTGCAGATTCACAACTTCAAATTGCATGCATGTGATCAAATATCATCCTCTTTGTTCGTCTTTGATCTTTGGTATGTCATGTTGTAGTAAAGACGGAGCACATATATATATATATATTAACTTTCACAGGCAACTCAAAATCTGTGTTTCACTTCAAAATCTGCACATATGTATACATGGATTTTTTTTTAATAAGTAATGTTTGACTTTGAAATATTTGTTCACCTTAAATTCTTTAGGGCTGATCCAGTTAATATATAAATGGTGCAAATGATGAAGGAGTTCAATTTGAATGTCAGATCCCATAACTTCAGACGACGAAGCCGAGTTTAAGTTCCATTAGCTTACGATCTAATCAAATGGAACATGCTTGCTGGACAAATATGTCTATACCCGAGGAATCTGGTTATTAATATTTGCTTGTGTAAATAAACTATTACTATATATGTATATAGAACTAACATTAATAAAAGGCTTAAGTAAACTTTTATCTACATTTTACGCAGTGTTTTGGTGATAATCAAGTTTGAGAACAGAATGGTCGAATAAAAAGAGAGACGCGATGTAATTATTGCATACAGCAAAAAGTAAAAAATAAGACCGAGGACGTGAGATAATAAAATAAAGTATATATTAATTGAAGGCAACAAAGGGAGGGAATTTCGGTAAGAAAAAACATATTAATTAAATGCTGTGCATAACCGTAGATTATGTCTTAGTTAAGGTTAAGGATTAAGAGTCTCCGCCCTGCGCACTTCATGTTCCACCCTTGTTTGTCTATTAAATCTTGATACATTTTTGGGTCAATTCAAAGGCTACAGGTCGTCGGCAATCGGGATTATTTAATATTAACGAAGCTAATCATAGCAGTTATTTTTAATTTACATGTATATCTAAATTTAGATTAACATAGCTTAATTACAAGATCTACACAGGCCACAGATGCATGCTGAATATGTAGTGTAATATATGACTGTATGATGTTAAGTTGGGGAAACTTTTTCTTAAACTAGGTATGTAAAAGTAAGTAACCAAGTTTAAAGAAAAGGATAATAGGATACAGTGATATTGAAGGAGCAGAAAAAGAATAAAAAAGTGAAGGAATAGCGAGCGAGAGATAAAAATAAATGGGAACAAGCTGGCAATATATATGGCGTTGTAAATAATACAAAAAAAGCTTGTTCACGTGGGATTCCGTCGTCTGCGTCCCACAATATAATTATATTGATCAGTTGTGTGCAATTAACCAGTTGAGTGCTTGGGTTAGAGTTTGGAGTATGTATATAATATGTTGATTGTTGAGATTAATGAAAGGATTAATATAAGGAAAAGAAAGGTTAAGATAATGGAGATCCCGAGGAGAGGTTTGGAGAAAGGAGATCAGGACGCTAAGATTACGCCATTAATTCACTCTCATGCATCGCCTTAACCGGGCACTTCCCCTCTATCTTCTCCTTCTCTTCGTTCACTTTGTTTCCCTCTTTTCTCCCTTCTCATTGGATCATTCTCATTCACTTTGTTGGATGAAAGTAACTAAAGAAATCTCACGTTACATAAATGAAACCAAACAACACTATCCTTTTGTTTGTATGGGGACAAAAATAGACAGCAAAAACAATTGTACAGATTTTCTTTCACCCATATATTTCAATTATAGCTAAACATCTTTCTTTCTTATTGCATGAAATTTATGGTACGTAAGTCTTGTTTTTTCTTTAATTTTAAAGATTTCACTCTATCTCTATCTCAATTTTGATTACATTTCTTTTATGCCATTATAAATATAATTTAGAGTGTAAAGAAATGTTGGGGGGAAAGAATAATATTTTGCAGCTTGCCCTTGAAGATTTGGAGCGACTGGTAGATTGATTAGAAGTTGAGGATGAAAGTGAGTAGACCCAATCTCACATGATGAGGAAGAACCTAATAAGTTGCTGGTGGTGGCAAAATATTAGTCCACCATATAAAAGGGAATCATTCTTTTTCAGGGCAATGTCTCGATCCATCAATCTATGTTATTTATTTTATCTCTTTTTTCCCCGTCACCTCCATTCATTCTTTTCCTTTATTACTCACTCGCCTATCAATAATCGAATAATATTAGTAGGTTAGACATCTTTTAAATGACATGAACTATGAGACGTCGACAAAGTGATTCCCTTCAACTTCTAAGTGCTTCTAATCTTTTTTGGGAATCGAGGCTCATAATTGTGACATGACCAAGCACATTATATCACACATCAACATTTCTATGCCCTTTTGCAGCCTTACTTTGAGATCTATAAAGTTATCATATATATATATATATATTTTTTGCAACTGGAGGATAAATTAAGATGACGGATTGTATAATAAATAATAAAAACTTATCTTCACACCATCACCTATCGCTTTAAATTAATTAGTTGCTTAAAAAATAATAAATACTTCGAGCAGTATAATCTACGATCTAAAACGAATTCTCTAACCACTACTTTTATTTCAAGCAACATATGAAATGAAAGTCAGAGTGAAACTCCTATACAGCTGTACTTCAAAATAAATAAACTAGCTAGGGTAAATAATTGTGTTGGCCTAATGCCGTGAGGTTATTATTATTAATGAAGATTCATAAATATTAAAGTATATATGTAGGCTCATCAAGGTTCAAATGTTAACCTGGATTGGGCACACATAGCTCGGCAATGGGAAACTGGCTCTAGAAAATAATAATAATAATAATAATAATAATAATAATAATAAGGAACAAGCAGGCTGTCATCCATGATCCTGATGATCCGTCCAAGCTCCTATCCGTACCATGACGAGTACTCCTTGTTGTAGAGTTGCAGCATTATCAAACCGGGTGCTGCGTGCCATTGAAGCTGATTTCGCAGGTTTAACAATGACGCATCCTCGTATTTCATGGCTGTAACTGTGCTTGCTTTTGGTTTGCTTAGCGGGTGGCATATGCAATATCTCCGACTTGAAAAGAACAGATTTATGTCTTCAGCTGGGGTGCCTAATCCTCTTACAAAATCCGTAACTCTGCATTATGCTCCCTTCCTTTTCTTCACTTTACCAACACACTCACATCCTAATTCCGACATTAATTCTTGTTCAGATCCTTAGTATATTTGCCTCCCTTAATTGGAGACCGCTTGCTTCGCTTTTTCTCCCCGACTTAACATCCAATATCTCCTTTGATCGCATGAAGCAGCAATGCATTTGCCATATCTCATCGATCGCGGTTAACTCAGGACAAATCTGCCTTTAGTTTTTTTATTTCTTAACAAACATATCTTCATTCTCGTGACCCATATTGTCAACAAATATAACTTCATTTCTTATATCTTAACATTGTGTCAAACATGTCTCATTAATTTGTAGTAAATCAGATTAATTAAGTTAGATTTGTTCTCACCTCTTAGCATAGCACTGCATAATCGATTCTTTCTAAAGAAAATCCTTCACGTGTTTTCTATTGCAGAACCTCACCGTACATATTCAAATAAATAAATAAATAAAACCTTTCATCTTGTACCTAGAAAAGAAAGCCTCCATCTACAGGGTCTCGCTCTTTTTAGGCAGATGGGTTTACAGTGATTCATTAAGATTTAGATTTCTCCCACAGGCACGAAGCTAGGAATGGTAATTGGAATGATGGACGTGATAAACCTATCATTTCTCTTCTTAGTATTTAGAATGAATTTAAGCAACATGCAAAAGGAAATAAAAACAAAAAGGTGGGGACCGAAAACAAAAGACAGAAAAGAAAAAGACCGTGGTCAAACCCCAGAAGTTTCTATTCTCTCTCTTCTCAGCCGTGTTGATTCCTCGGGGTCACGTAGTCCCCATAATCTGGTTTGCTGTTGCACCACCAGAACTGAAGTTTTTGCTCCAATGTCTAGGGAGGCAAGAATTTCTCCCACAGTTCCCAATTCTCCATCCTTCCACTTCTTCAGTTCAGACATCAGATTGGAATCTCCATGCCTTCTTCCAACCATAACAAGGTCATAAACATTGTCTATATCTTCCACCGTGGAAAGCACATCCCTCCCATCCATTACTCGCGCTTCCTTGTAAGAAATTCTTTGGTTCCGGAAGGCGCTGAGCCTAAAGTCACTCAAGGTCTGGGTATCAAGCATTTTGCTCCTTTCTGTACCAGCAGCAATCTCTGTTGAAGAAGAAAAATAAACCAGAGTTATATACACATTGGGTTGATCCAACATTCGCCTTGCCAAGGCAAGGGCTTCACGATCATCTGCTCCTCCAAAGAAGAACACGGCTACTTGATATAACGGTTCCCTGACAAAATGGTCACACCAAAAATTTGGTTGATTGCCACGATCCACAAGGACTCCAACTGAGCAAGGAGCTTTCTCTAGAACATTCTTGGTCAGGTGCTTGAAGGGAAATGATGACACTGGTTTACCACCATATATCCATTTCTTCTGAAAAGGTATGACTATAAAGGTTACTCTCTTTTCAAGTGCCATGTAGCACACATCATTGTGCATTGTTTCATATGGGGAGATGCCTTTATAGCAGCGCAGAGTAACCAAGCCTCCACGCTCATGCTCAAATTTCATAAATGCATTGAAAATTTTATCAGATTCAGTTGGATGTTGGGAAAGATTTTCACGCGGCACGTGCGCAACAAGTAGAGAGGATGCACGACCTGCAAGCTTAACAAGGTGGAGAACAGCTAAATCAATTGGGCTTTTCATGGTGGGATTGGAAGCAGCAAGGAGGTTCAGAATTGCCAAGACATTATCTGGCTTGTGAATGCAAGCAAGAATTCGCAATGGTTCATAATTGCTATGATGCAAAATTGTCCTCCTTTTATAAGCAAGAAACCTCCTGGATGGATCATAAAGGACTTTCACAGCTGGTGATACAATCCCAGTTACGAGCACAACAGAAACGATCATAATTGCATAAAATTCCTCACTCAAGGTCTGCAAATGCGAAGAAGCACTCCTGTTATTGGCATGCAAAAGACAAACCCTACAAAGTTTTGTGAATTGTGCATGAGTCGAAAGTAAATGGCTTACACTTTCTAATTTCCAGTCAATCAAGAAGGCTAGTTCAATAATGCCTTTGCAATTCATCACAAAACCAAGAGAGAGAGCATCTCGGAAAGGCATTCTACACAAAAGAAGAGGCAATAGTACTGCTACAATCTTCCCACAGAAGGCAACAAAAACTATTAAATGAATTACACCCACATTCCTCAGCTCCTTTATGGCAAAAACATCTGTTCTTAATCCACTTACGATAAAAATAATAGGCTGGAACACTACAGAAACAAAGCAGTCAATCTTGTCCACCAGTGCAGCTCCTAACGGCGGCCCGTCTGGTATAGCCAAACCTAGCACGAAAGACACAAGATACGCATGTATGCCAAGCACCTGGCCCATGAATCCACTGATCAAAAATGTCACAAGAACCCAAAAAATATAGATTTCCTTAACAGGTTCCCCCTCTGGCGTGTGTTGAATTGCCCATAATGCCGCTGGCCTTACAACAAACATGATGAATGAAATAAGAAGAGCAGTTGCAAAGAAAAATTCGAAACATACTCCTATTGACTCTGTGTGGGCTAATCTTGAGGCAAACTGCATTGCCATGACTAACCAATGGAAAACATCACAAACTAGTGAAGAAGAAGAGGCCAAGCGCCCAATCTCTGAATTGAGAATCTGGAGTTCGGCAAGAAAACAAGTTATCACTGGAAACGCTGTCATAGATGCAATTGCCACCACAAGAGGAAGCATCTCAGAAATATCATGATCCAATGGAAAATATTGACCGACGATAAAGGCAACCGTTTGAGCTAAGGTGTAAGGAATAATGAAGCCTAAAACTCCCATGGCCAAGGTCCTTTTACCTGATCTAGAAATGATGGTTGGATCTATCTTTACCCCAACTAGGAAGACGAATATCATTAAACCAAAAAACGCAAAGGTATCAAGCACACATTTTCCTTTGGGTGGGAAAACTCTCTTCGCAAATTCTGAGTTGCGCCCAAGAATTGAAGGTCCTAAAGTCAAGCCGCCCTAGTGAACAGACATCATTGAAGAAATTAGACACAAATCACTGGCATCGACTGTAAACCATGAAAAATAATTGTGTCAATTACAAGTAGTAAGGTTGCATGTTTCCAACTAAAAATAGAATATCAGATAACAGAACAACACTAGGTCATAAAAGACTTTGGTGGATGTCAGTCAGTTAGTCTTCTATAATTTTGTTAACAACTAACAAGTGCATAGAGCCGCTAGCCAGTGCTTAAGCAACTACAAGAATGAGAATACTGAGAGTACCTACCACTCTGGCTACAAGGACATTTGTAACAACTCTTACAAAATTACTTGGTTTGTAACAACTCTCACAAAATTACTTGAACCAAGTAATTTTGTGAGAGTCGTTACAAATATAGTAACTCTCTCTTTTTTTATAATTCGCTTCATCCTCTCTATCTAGCGTCTAGAAAAGCAAAAGGCGGTTCATTCCAATTGAAGAATTGTTTTTGCAGCTCCCTACTATGGTTTTACTAGTTTCTGTTTCTGATAATATTGTGTTTGCACTGAATATGTCAACAGATACTCTGTGGTCATACAGCCTGCAATGGGTCTTGAAAATCAAATTATAGGACCCAGATTGATCAACTATGATGGGTTTCCAATTACCAGACGTAAAAACCAATGGAAGACCAAAAATAAATCCTAACAGTGATTTTAACATCAACATGAAAACTAACAACAAGCAGGCCGCGAGCTTACAAGAATTTGAGAAATAATATAGGGTTGACCCAAGGGCTTGAGGAGAAAGAGAAAAAAACCAGTGAATATGGACATGAGTGAAAGCTGGATCAAAATGAGAGGGACAGAGAAGTTAAGTGGGTCATCTCCCAAAAAGAAACCCTTGGAGTTGAGAAGATTGAAGGCGTGGCAAATGTATGAATCTTCAAACTTGATGTTGGCTTGCGTTGCCGCCTGAATTGCATTCTGAACCAGCTTTACCCGTCCTCCTATGGAGGGGGGAATCGCGTGAGACTCATTGAGAGCCATTTGGGTGACGAAAAGAGCGAGAAGCAGAGGAATAGAGGAAACGTCAGAGGACTCATTTGGAGAGAATACAGAAATCACGGGCGGATGAGAGGGAGAGAGAAACAGAACAACGAGTAATGGCTTCTTTTACGATATGATTGCATGAAAATGAAAATAAGGCAAATGCTAAAATAATGGATAGATATATTTGGCCATTCTAAAATAGAAGATTTTTTTAATGGAAAAAACAATGGGACTGGTTTTAAATGTTCGGCGCTCAAAAGGTGTAAAGATTTCAAGGATCACGCCTTACAGCTTCAATATATTAAATCATTTCTTTCAAAAAAAAAATCTCAATAACTATTTATTATACAAAAATAGATGATATTCTATTCAAGGAATAACATTTTGAGATATCCAAGTTTACATGATGGGCCACAAATAAGTAATAGCACTTTATCATATTAATTTCTTGGATAACAAAATATCAACCAAGAAAAGAGGGGGGTTACTCAACATGAAATTTGATGATTGAGAGCCATGAGCTTGTTTTGTGTTTGTGTCCCATTCACAATGTTTCCATAGTCAAACTAGTGTGCTCCTTATTGATTCTACCATCATGTCATTTTTCTATGACACACTGCTAATGGGATTTTAGGTATTGGGTTTGAATTTGCTGAACGGGAATTGTCGTTAACCATAAGTTTATTGTAACATTCGAGAAAATTAAGTATGATTAGTTACTCTAATAAGTGTGATTAATGAGTTAATGAGGTGTGTATATAGGTCTAATTGATGTAATTTATTGTAGTTTCAACCTTAAAAGTAAGTTCGAATCAATGATTGGCCACCCGAGAAAGTAAATAGGAAGAAAAAGTTAAGATATGCCCTCCGTGCCACATGTCGCAATGTATGGTCAATCCACCGCAACGCACAAAGGTAAATTTTAAATTAAATGGCCTTTCTATACCATGCACTATGGTGGAGGGCTGCGTGCATCATGGCACATGGTCAAAATCTAATTTATCAGATACAATTATGTGTGCAAAAAACAGAGAAGAGGAAGGAGAAAACCTGAAAAACACGGTTAAGCTCTGCTAAGGCACAAACATTGCAGTCCTTGGGAATAGATTAAAGCTTTCCAACACCTAAGGTAAGCAATCTATGCCCTCTTCTTCACTTATGAAAGTTTGAGTTAGGGTGTGAGTTGGAAGTTGATTTTTGATCTCTAGGAGTTATAGGTCCGATTTCATCAGATAAAATAGATACAATGGGAGTTATTTTAGGTGGTTAAACCCTACTTTAATGATTTTGAATATGGTTAGTGGAGTGAAGCATTTAATGTCTGAAAATCAACGTAAATGAGGTAATTGGGAGAGTTTGATATATATTAATGATAGTTTAATGACTCATTGATAGTAATGTAAGTCAATGAAACCTAATGAATTCATTGAGTATGAATGGATAGTAATTTATGGATTGATAGAATAAAGTGGGGGGAAATTAATGTTGGAAAACTCATAAAATGGGATAATGATGATATCCTTATATTGTGCTTATAGTGTGGTTTAATTTGGCACCATTTAAACTTGTGAGAAGCTTTAGAAGTTGATATTATGAGGGGTATACCTTTGCCCTCTCAAAGGTTTAAAGTAACCGAAAAAAATCTATTTTTGTATAGTTGTATATTAATTAAGTTAATCATTGAATTTCATATGTTGAAGCTTATTTGTTGATATAATCTTTGGATGCAAATTTTGGTAAATGATAAACTTATGAATGGTTTGATAAATGAAAACCTTTTACATGCCAACCGATTGTGATTTATGAATTTATCTTGGCATGTTATTGTGAGTGAAAATTGTGATTTATAACGTGAAGCATATGAAAATGAGTATATGAGTTTATATGACAAGAATTGATCAATTTGAATGCATAATCATGTGAGTTGTGCATAGTATAATCATTAGCGGGAGTTCACCTAGGGAGGGGAGTAGTTTATTTAAATTCACGTGGTATTGACAGTGATCGTTGGAATTGAGAACTTGTCTTAGCACTGATCATTGAAATCAAAAGGTAACTCGTATCCCATAGTTGATTCAGAACTGTCCCACTAGTTCTACAAGGGACTTAAAGATAACTAGTCTCTATCTATTCATAAGGAGACTAAATTAGGGGTATAACACTTCATGGTTGTTAGTATTGAGAGAAATTAGATTACATAAGTAAATGAGTTAACCCTGATCAGGTAGCTCCTCACAAGTAAAAAGCTGGGTTAGTCCGTGAAGGGATGTAGCCACATGATAGCTACCAATTTCATATTAGAGGTAACAAGAGGATATAAAATTGGCATTTGATCATGTATTTAAATCCAGCCACATGGTTGTTAGTATTGTGGTCCGACATGTGTTACGGATACATGATTGGTATTATTGCAATTTCAGGATGTACATTGACATTTTATGGATATGTATATGTGCCTTGGCCCGATCATTTATATTTTGAATGATTTTCTCACCCCTTGTGTTTTGTGAAATTTAGGGTTGAGTGATGATTTTAAAAAATATGTATTTTCTATTGTGTATGGTGTGATGCACATGTCCGCTAAAGTCCATTAAGTATGGTCAGATGGTCAGTGTAAATGTTTGCATGTGAGATTGAATTAAGACACCAAAGTTGTGTGTTTTATGTGAAAAGTGGTAAAATGAGGTTTTGGTATCCAACTTTTTGTAGAAAATGAAATTAAGTGTGAAATCTGTGCTATTAGCTAAAGTTAGGAGAAAATTTCGTATAGACAATGAAATCATCTCAGTCGGACATCGGATGGAGTTTTGAGATGCATTTGAAATTCACTCCTATTGTTGTCAAATGATAGCAGCTGTTGCTGTCAAATTCGTGCAATGTGTCGCGGTGCGTGAAGCCTCATGCCGCAACACATGGCATAGAGGCGAGTGAGTCATGGCGCATGGGTTATTTTCTATACAAAACAGTTTTGAGTTTTAAAAATTCATTGTTTTGGGTCTCATGTGATTTTTAAGCTTCCGTACATTTTCAAACTTTAATTTGAGCATTTCAAATGTGTTTGAGATTAAAAATATTAAATTTTAGATCCCATTGTTAATTATTTAAGAATTTTTCATTCTTATAATTTTACAACTTTGGTAACTCTTTGAGGATTAATCTCTTAATTACTATCTTTATGGAGTTAAGTGTGGTTAATTAAAGGAGATCTCACGTTCATACTCCCAAAATATTAAAAAATTGACCCCACCAATGACTCCACAGTCCACACTCCAGGTAAGTTTTATCTGGAACTTGCATATCCACTCGCAATTGATCTTGCATTTGCAGTCTGTCAAGCCAATTCTAATACTTTGTCTCGTTTAGCATTGCTGTTGGACAACAGACATGAATCTTGTCAAAGTGCTACCACCAGTATAGAAATGAAGTTGGAGTAAAAAGGCAAAAATGATAAAAATAACTTAATTTGAATAACTGAAATAAACAAAAAATCTTAAGATTGGAATGTTTGGCCATTAAGATATCTAGAATAGTTGTTTATTCCGATTGTTATTATACACACCTAGCGTGAATAACAACTGGAATAAAAAAAAAAAAAAACTGTTCTAGATATATGTCAAAGTGCCGTAACTCCTAGCTCCAATATCAATGTACATACCCCTATCCTTAAAGCTGGTGTCAACCATGGAAGTAATGTATTATGTTCCTTATATATCTGTTTAGCGTGACCAAGGCTTCAATGGCTCCTTTAATATTAATGGTTTTACATTTTCTACCAAGTGATGCTTCTAGCTTGGAACGGAGCACTGGTGATTGAATTGTCACTAGAGATGTTTCTGTTAACGAGACCTGATAAATTCGCAGCAATAGAATAGAGTAAGAAAATAATTGAAATTATATATATCATTTGTACCTGCCATCTTATGAATGACAAAGAACCCACGGATCTTAAGCATCCTAAAGGTCTCAACAGCAAATTCCGTTGACCGAGTTGACTGTTTCAGGCTATTGCTACAAAAAAAAAAAAAAAAAACACGACATCGAAGGTGTCCTTATTGAAGGGTTGCCGGCGTCCCTTTCCAAGAATGATCAAAGGATGAGACGGTTTCTTCCTGATTCTAACAAAATCAAAGACACCAACTTCTTTCAGAGCCAAGACATCCTTGTTGGTGGGAGCGTCGACTCAAATAGGAAACCCCTCAACTACCAATTCCTGGAATTTAAGGGCATTGTATTCAACTGAGCCATTTTTCACTTGACAATTTGCCACCTTTACTAGAGATAGTAGAGGAGGAGGAGCAGACACATGTTTTCGGGCTGCTGAAAGAAGCAGAATTGAGGAGGCGCAAGATCCGACTTTCACAGTGATGATGTGAGAGAACCGTGCGAAAAAGATGAGAGATCCCAAAAAAAAAAAAAAGGAACGAACAAGAACATTCCTCAAGTAGCTGCGCTTTACTATAAGGGGCTCCATGAATCATTCGCTTAAAGCTTGAGCAATGTCAGAAGAAAGGGAGGCGTCACTGTCAGGCTCAGGAGCGGGATAGGAGAAATAGGAAATTAAGCCAAGTTTTAAGGGTAAGATTGGGAAATCATGTAGGCACACGTGGGAGATTCATACTAATGGCGGCGCAGCTGATTACTGGTAGTATGATACTATGATTTATGTTTCTTGTGCTTGGCTCGCACGGAAAAGCATAAAGGCCAAAAAATGAAAAAAAAAATAATAATAAAAGGATGTAATTTTTTATCATGCTTTGACTGAGTAAGAAAAAACAAGGAGAGAAAATTTATTACTTTTATATATACAATAATAACTTTATTATTTATAAAAATATTTATGTATAATAAAATTTAATATTTTAACACATTATATGTAATAATAATAATTTTTTTATACATTATTGATTAATAAAAACATAATTACAAATTATTTTATATAATACCAACCAAAAATTATTTTATCCAATTTATAATTTTATTTATTAAATTATTAAGTATGTAATAATTTTAAAATTTTGAAACTACAACCAAATATAAGAAACTTAACTAAAAATTTAGAATTATCACTTATCTAATTAATTTTAAAATTAAATATACTGTTTCTTTAACAAAAGTCCATAATCAAAATCTAACTTTGCTGCAAATAAAAAATTTAAAAATTGAGGGGAAAATTTGAAAATGGAGTTTTCTACAAAATCTTTTCATATTTAGAAAAAAAAAAGTTAAAGGTAAAAATATGTGAATGTTACGTGTTATGTTCTTTCTATTTTTTTCTCTATAGCCAAATAAGGTACATATATCACTTTTCTCTCCAGCCAAGCACAACAGTGAAGCCCTTTCTGATTTGGGCCACAAAGTAGTTCAGCTTCAAAAATAGGTCACTTCCGGCAGTCAATGGGCTTGAATTGGGCTAACAAAGTACTCTAAGGTGAAGTGCGAAGATTCAGCCGAAAAGTATCAAGTGAAAGCTCCTTTTCATTGGATTTATGCCTGCCCTTTTGAAGTATTTATTAGGATTTAATTTAGAGCTGCCTCCAGATCTCGTCGGAGTTGTTTTCCGGCATATCATGGAGCGGCTCTTTCATTTCAAATCCGTAATAAGCATAAATATTCTATTGCAAGGAGTTACTGACTTATTGTATTGCTTTGCCTAACTCCATTGAACGGCATCTCATAACTAATCGCTAATAATATTGACAACTTATGCTATACACAACGCAAATTGTCGTAGATTTTATTATTTTATAATACTGAAAAATAAATCAAACTATCTCATTAATCTATTATTATTTGTCTTGCTGTCGCTGTTAACTCACGTATTGATGAAGTTTTTTAGAGTTGGCCACTTGGCGTTTACAGAACCCAGGTCTTGCAAACACGGAATATTAAAAACTAGGAGGCGGCTCATGCAAATCAGGTCAATATTCTTTAATACGAAATAATGTTATTCGAAATATATGAATCACAATGTCGGTTCACATAGGATCGGCCACAGGACTCTCAATCACTATTACTCGTCTCCTAGATCCAAATCCATGGGCTAGTCGAGGCCTGGACGGCCTGTCCTGCTTTTGCATTTAAATATTTCTATAATTTTATTTACAACTTATTTTCAATATATTCTATAAAAATGTAAAAAAAATAAATTTTACTAACCCTATTTTAAAATTTTTTAATTTTATTTTTATTGAATAATATATTTTCTCTCTCAAATATTTAATGAGAACTAAAAAAATTGTATTAAAAACTTAATAAGATGACTTTTAAATAGGATAAAAAAAATCTTCTCTCTACTCTATAAATAAGATTAAAGCAGTATACAATATTAATAACAGTTATTATACTTAATATTCAATCCCATCTTAAATAGAATTTCTTTTAGTAGAAGAATATTTATGAACAATAAAAAAATATCTATTATTACATTCACATTTTTTTATATCTTTTTCCAGTTTGTCACTGTAAATAGATTTCAGTGTACGATGCACAAGATATGTTGTTACTCCAATATAAAAGAAGAACCAATACATTTGTTTCTCTATTTTTGCATGCCATCCTTGCAGAGGAGCCATGCTAATTTTTTCTGTCTTGTTCAATTTGAATGGGTGTCCCGGAAGGGACCCAATGCATTTTTTATAACTAATTAAGTTGCTTAATTTTCCTAACTCGAATTAATTAACTGACTGCTAGATTTAGCCAGGGAATGAGTAATTTTTTTTAATAAACAAAATTTAGACGAGTTGATTCTAAAAATTCACCATGATGAGAGTATACATTGGAGTCTAAACAATACTAGTAAACATGCATATAAATCACCCATCACTCATCAGCAGAGTTTTTAATTGAATCTCGAAGACGGAAATAAATAGTTGGAAGAAGACGAAACAGATAGGCGGCGAGAGGAACGGGGAGGGGCGGCGAGAGGAACGCAAGGCTGTCTCAATCCGAGTCGTACGGACAAACGCCCCGTTCACTGGCCACAGCCCCATTCTTGGAATCTGGCCTATTTGTAGTGTCTATCCCATATTCACACACGCGTCATCCAAGTGGGCTATCATCACCATAACCATTACCATTACCATGTCCCACCTCCCTCCCCTTCCTTTTGTTTTCTTGTTAATTTAATCGAACCCCCCAAAGTTGACATTGTCCCCTGCCCTCCATCTTTGACTCAGCCCCCCTCTCCTTTGTCATCTTCTATCTTATTGCCCAATTACTTGTACATACAACACTCTTGTTGATTTTTTCCTCAAAATTTCCTCCTTTCTCGTCATGATCAAGAACCAAAAAAAAAAAAAGTAGACAACCGCAAGATTACATGGAGGCTCTCTCCCTAAAAACAATCAAAAAATTTTACCAACGCCGCGCGCGCGAACATACAACAATTATGGCAATATACAGCAGTATATGTCGATCCTGTGGCTAATATACAACAACAAACTTAAATTAAATAATGCAATAAATGGAATCTATCTCCTCCTTTTTGTCTTCTTTGGTCAAGTAAAACTTAACGGAACCTTCCATCACCATGCTGTCAATTCGTTAAAATTCAGCACAGTAAAGATTCCAGAAACACGTCGTCCCTGGGCTCCTCCTTGGCCCTGGAAGAAAACCCGTTCTCCGATTGTGGTTGCTGCTGAATATTGCTATGGTTCATGAAAGACCCCATCGGATTCCCGAACCCCGAAAACCCGAAGCTTCCTGGGCCCTGAATCATCCCTAGGGCAAGCGATGATGATTGACCTTCTGGTCCTGACGCTGCTGCCCTGTAATTCTGAATACCACCGTTGTTCATTGAATTGTTGGCGTTGTGTGCGATGGCCGATGGCCTTATGGCTGTGGGGATTGCACCGTTGCTGTTTGTGGAATTGTTCAACGGAGGCCTGTTCGCGGAATGGCTGCCGCTCCCTCTGGCCGCAGGGACATCATGGTTATGCTTTCCCTCGTAGGTTGTGATCACTGCTCTCAGGTCGTGTGAGGCTCTCTCTACGTGCTTCCTCACTGGACATCCTGGGTGTGTGCATTTGTAGTAGCTCCTACAATTCACACCGATTAGACTCAACAATCAGACAGGAAATTCCACACGTGTGGTAAACACAGAGCTTGTCAGCCAAGACAAGAGAATCAGAAAAAAAGCATATTCGAATATAGTACCCGGTGCCCACTACTCTACTCATCATGTAGCTAAAGACTGAGTACTGTTATAAGCATTAGCATGAGTGATGGATTAGCTTATCAAACTACTATTTTTGATCGAACTTAAAGTAGAACAAGTTTCCAAAGGTTAGATTTTTTAGACGTTTGTATTTTTCAGGAATAGCAAAAGCGAAGCTTTTTAATTTACCTTGGATTTGGATTTCCCTTCACTACTTTTTGCCCGTATTTTCTCCATCTGTACCCATCGTCTAGAATATCTATGTCACTGGTTGTCTGGACTACAACTCTGGGTTCTCTCACTGTTCTACTTCCAGCTGCCGATACACCCTCATTTTCACCTTCCATTTTCCTGGAAAGTTAACGGAAAAATTAATCTCGTAATGGAGTGAATTTCACAAATAATTTAATCTAACAAGGAAAGTCATGGTGTAATTATTCATAAGATTAATACTCACCATCTTTTGGCATCAGATTCGTCTTCATCAAACTCATCTCCTGATCTAGTCCTCTGGGAAGTCTGCTCAAAATCATCATCTCCCATCGATATGGACGAGTTCTCTGGTGTTGCAGCTGAATCCATTTGTCCATTACCATGGCTGGCAAATGACTGATCTTGCATTTCAGCGGTCACAGAATTTGTAGCAGGAATAATGGCGAGAGAAGATGCATTTGATGAGTTTCTCCTAGTTGCCTGAGGCTTGGGATGGTTATGTGTTCCCTTGTAAACTATCTCTGTAATTTGCCCGTCCAAAGATCTCTCAACCTTCTTCTTCGTTGGGCAACTAGGATATGTGCATTTGTAATAGCTTCTAGGATTCTCGCTTCCTTTCACTTGCTTCTGCCCATATTTTCTCCAGTTGTATCCATCATCTGATCTTCTGCTTAAGGTCTGAGGTTGTGGGTGGTAATTGCTATGATCCGATTGAAACCCACTGTTATGGTTTGTCTGGACATTGCTGACCATCTCAGTGGAATAGCTCTGTATTGAAGCGTTCTCGGCTTTCACTATGGTCTTTCCTGAAGAGAAGTTATCTTGCTTGGTGGCTTCCTGAAAACTCCATGCCTGTTGCTATAGATGAAAGGTCATGAGATCAAGGATTATAAAAAGTAAAACACAGATGAGCATCTGCGTCGAAATAAATCACGTACATTTTGATTCGAGGCAGCTGAAGATGGAAACGTTGTGGTGGATGGAAGAGGAGCCCTGGGTTGGGGTTGAAACGAGAAGCTTGAGAAGTTCTTGTCTTCTTCTTTGATATTTTGCTGCTGTTGCCCAGAACTGCTCTTCCAATTGAAGGCCTGAGCAGAGAATGCTCCAGTGGTCGGAGATGGCAATATCTGAATTCAAAAAACACCAAAACAAATAAAAAAAAAGAAACAAACAGCGTCAATTCCATCATCTGGTCAAATTACCGGATAAAGAAAGAGAAAAAAATCACAAAACAATCGATAGGGCAAACTATAATAACAGGAGGTGCTAAATCACCAAAAAAGAAAAATCTAGAACAGGGACTGACACGGTTAAATTTCCATGTTTTGATCAAGCCTCTTGTTTCAAAATCTAATATACCAGTTTAAGAGATTATCCAAATAAATGCAAGAAATGAAATTACAAAGTAAACCAAGTCTCGCTCTAGACCTTCAGATATCTGTTTCATTTCTCAACGGAGCTAATCTTTTGAGCACCGAAACAGTCAAAAATACCAAAGAAAGAGCGTGAAACTTACGTTAGACGCATTGAGGAGAACAGGCGAGTCAAGAAGCTCCGCTGGGCTCATCCCAGGAGGGATGGCGAAGTAAGAAGAAGGAGAAATGGCAGGACGAGAGAGAGGCAGCGAAGGAGGCGGGGTCGACTTGAATTTGGGCATGCCCAACCCAGTCCTCTCTGCTATACGATCCGAAAATCCGCGAGGCTTATCGACGGCGGAGGCGGGGATGTCGGCGGCGGCCGGAGAAGCGAGAAGGTCGGAAAAAGAAGTGTTCATGAATGAACGCGTAGAGAAAGTGAAGGTGGAGCGGGAGTTAGCAGAGGTGTCGAGGCTTCCAGAAGAAGATGCCATAAGAGAGAGGAATTGAGAAGGACAAGCAGAGAGGGTGGAGAGGAAAAGTTTCAGACAGATAAAGAAAAGAAGGTTTAATAAGAAGAGCAGGAAGAGGTGAAGAAGATGGTCACGTATGGCGCAAGGCTTTGATTTCTATTGGGAAGTAGGCACTTTCTGGGAAGGAGGCGGAGAGGTGGGGAAGGTTTGACCGTGGAAAATATGCCACGGTGGACAGTCTTGGTATTATAATAATGCCGGTCAAAGCTCGTGGGTTTGACTGGGTGGTGGTGGCTGGCTGAGAGCAACAAAGGCAGAGATGATTCACGAATAACAAAATCAAGATCTTCTTGTTTTTTTTTGGAGGGGGGGTTCTTGTGAGAGTATTGTCTTGCTTTCTCGATTTGTGACAGTATTGTCTTGTTTTCTAAATCGCGAAACTGTAGCCGCTGCCCGAGAGAAGATGCCATGTTTTTCTGCTGTTGGAAGCCACAGTATGGATGACAGATTGACAGTTGCCACACTTGTTCGGAGCAGCTTAAGATCATGTCTGGCGTGTCTCGTGCCTGCAGCTCCAGATTTATGTGGCTATTTCTTTATTAAAGAATAATTTAATTTACGCAAAGATAGGACAGGAAGATAAATGATGTCACTAAATGGAACCATAAAATTGGTGGCCCATGAGATTCCAAAATGTCGAAAGGGTGAAGATCTTTCGGCCGATCGCATTGTTTTCTAGGCAGGAATCTAGGAAAGATAGAGAAACAAACAGTTCTTTTTTTCTTTTTTTTCTTTTGTTTTTTTTTTCCATCGAGAGAAACAAGCAGTTTATAAAAGAGAGATACTGGGCAAAATGAGGTGACTTTTTTTGCCTTTTTTTTGGGGTGGGGGGGGGGGGGAGGATGGCCAAGCATTGCTTGTGAAAGGAGACGAGTACATGGAGCCTTACCACAGTATGATGTGTCAAGGACCACACAAACTTCGATGCTATCTCATAATTTTCCTGCTGGGGATTGGATTAGGACATGTAACGCGTCGCGGATGTTCCCCATGTCACGCTTGTATTTCACAGCATGCCTCTCATTTAAGTTGTTATTCTGGCGAGATTCTCACATGGTAAAACACATGTTCAAGAAAATAATAACAATTAAATTAAGATGTAAATTATTGAAATCACTCTATATGGACAATTTAACAACTCGCGATGGTTTCCCCCATAATTCCAAGTGGCTTCTCTCCAATCCACACGCCAACAGTTCAGCGTGTTTCGCCTTCTTGTGTGCCCTGCATCCACCCCTCTCTTGTCCTTTTGTGATTCTTCAATAATATATTTTCTTTTATTGAAAAAAAAAATTCAATCGTCGTTTAAATTAACCCCAGAAGCAACCCACTTCCCGGAACGCATCTTTATCCAGAGTGGAAAAAATTCAAAAACAAAAAATTGTGGGGTCTGGTTTTCGTCACCGCGAACGTACTTCCTACGGAAGCACTAATCACGAAATTACATCGTACACGTACGAGAACTCTCTTTCTCGCCTATATACATCGAAATCGAAAGATCCACATCTTTTAATTTAATATTTGCTACAAATTAGTTGTAACTATCTGTGTGTCATGCCCCAACTGTGTATTGTATTGCTGTATTATCCTTTTTTACTGTCATTTTTTTCCCCCTGAACTATTTTTTGTCTGACCGCCTAACGGAAACTAACCAATTTTGTTCTCTTTATTCCCATTTATTTCCTAAATAAAACTGACAGAAAACCAGATTTTATAATTCCTTCATTCTTTTTTTTAATTCATAATATTATTTTAGCTCGTGAGGACGATCTCAGATAATACTTCGACAAGCCAGCGTATCCAAGACACATTTGTATTTTAAAAAGTTTTTTTTTTTTTGACCAGTACTTGCTCGTGAGTTTGCGTTGCTTCAATATTAAGCAAGAGAGGCTATGCATCAATCTATCTTTGTTTTAATTTTATGTTCCCGGAGTGATTTTGTTTTATTAATATTTTCTTTATTAAATTTCTCAATTGACGAGGATTTTAATTAAATATTCCCTCTATTATAAGATTATATATATCTTTTTTGTATTTACTTCTATTTAATAAATTTATGGATTGAAAAATCTTATTAATTACATTCTGAAAATATTTTTTTTGAAAAAGCCTCGTAAATTATATATTAATTATGTATTAAAAATTTTAAAAAATTTATATTTTTAAACATCTAACTTATAAAAATTATATTTTTTAGAAGTCAAAGCAAGATTATTAAACTCTCAAGCTTAACTAAACTCATGATGGGGATACAAATTAATGTAGATTTGAATCGTAAACTTGTAAGAATTTACCAATGTTAATAAATAATATTTAAAAATATATAATTAAATAATTAAAATATAAAATATGATCACAATTTAATTTAAATATATTTAAAATATAAATTATTAAAATTAAATTCATCTACATTCATATATTATTACACTCAACATATAAATTCCAAAATATGAAAGCTTAGTTTTTTATAGTTTTTTATTTTCTTTTTTAATTAAATTTATTTTTATTTTTTATTAAATTGGGTCCTACCATTTTTATAAATTAAATTTCACACAATATATACCTATCAATGAGTTTATGAGCACAATTTTATATTTATTTATATTTAATGGATGTACTGATTGAGAAATCTTATTAATTACATTCTGAAAATATTTTTCTAAAAAAGCCTCATAAATTATATATTAAAATTTTAAAAATTTATATTTTTAAACATCTTATCGTTAAAAATTATATTTTTGAGATGTGGGAGTGTTATAATTTCGTGTATTTTATATATAAAGGCTCATGTTGCCGCACTTAAGCCAGCGAGCTACATTGTACTTCACAGACATCTAGAAACGATGGACTGGAACCGGATCCTCTCAGCCGCCACATTCCTCAGCCTTTTATTCCATTCAATAATCAAAATCTCGTCAACGTACATATCAAATTACAGCTTTTAAAAATATAAGTGAATAATTTATTTTTAAACAGTATAAAAAATATTTTAAAAAATCACGTAGGATGAAAATATATGTTAGACTTTGGCCAAACAAACATATCTTATTTATATAAATATGTTTAATTATAAATTTAAGTTTGATCATTTTGTTAGGCCATGTTAAAATTTAGACAGGCCAAGTTATATGTTTTTTATTGTCTATTTACTTATTTTAATGCAATTAGCTTTTTTTTGGGTAAAAAGTTAATCAGCCTTTTTTGTTAAATAAATCTAGCCTGGCCTATAAACACGTACAATTTGTTCTGTTTAAATTTTGGCTTAACCTATTTAACAAAAATGCTAGATTTAAATTTATAATTAGCCATATTTATATAAATAAGTTATATATATTTAGTCAAAATTGGATATAGGTCATGTCTATTTTCACTCTTACATAATATTTTAAAATGTATTTTTTTACTAATTAAAAATAAATTATTCACACATTTTTTCAAAAGCCATCATACATGTATTGATGAGATTTTTGATCGAAGTCGCCGAGGAAGGTGGCCGCTGAGAGGATCCAGATCCCGATGGATTGCATATTCACACATGTGGCCGCTTTTTGAGGGTTCTAAGCTTTTGAGAGATAATGTTTTTTAAAGCAACCTACGCAGACTCATAAACTCATTTTGTTTTTTTCCTTCATGCAAAAAAAAAACAGAACCCATATTCTTTTGACTGACGCCCAATTTGCTCGCTTCTCTAATAACCACAATTTAGTGGTTAAATGACATCATCAAAGCTTCTTCCACCAAATAAAACGTTTCGCTAATCAATACTCTTAATAATCTAGACAAATTTAGATTCCCTATCAATCAATCAATTAAATATATGCTTCTCAGTGTTATTGGTTTCTTTCGGCTGAACTGTACCCATGTCACAAAAGCCATGTCACAAAAGAGAAAAAATAGATCAATCTTGTTGAAAAAAACTTTTAAGCTAGTTTCAGCTTACTCTCCTGTACTTAAAAAAATATAACATTATATCGATCCAAATTTATTCAATTCACATTTGCTGCTGGTAGTCCATAGCCTGGCCTTGCCATTTGGGACACGGGATCGGTCCTCGTGACCTCCATGAAGTTGTTGGCCGAAGAATCGGTCAAAGACCAATATTTGCATTTCTCAGAGCATGGAATACGTTCTTTGTATAAGGATTACATTAACCTTTTTTTTTTTTGCGGAAGAACTAATGGGCTCCAAAGTTGACCCCCACCCCCCATTCAGCTCATTCAATATTCTCATCACCCGAACCCCAAAGGATCAGCTTGATTGCAGAAATAAGCTTGTGATGATGTACCGTTAAGTTTACATTTTAATGACGCCAAACTCTTGATCTTCCTAGTGATGCTGGTTTTGATATATACACGAAGGTATGGACATTATTTGACAATTTTTTTGTTTTCAAAAAAAGATAAGAGTTCCAGTCGGGAACGGTGTTTTCAGCATTGAACTCGTCTCCCACGAGTGCCGATATTCCGAGTTTGTGAGGAAAAGTACCAGTAGGCAATAGTCTTGGCCACTAACTGAAAATATTGCAAGTTATATTTAAGGAACCCAATAGACGTAGCCACAAAGGGTGCGAGTGTGACACAAACAATAGATTTGCATCGGTTCGCCCATGAGTGACGTAAGAAAGCAGGTTCCCCAGTAGGCCAGTACTCATCTTTGATTCATTGATAAGAGAGAGAGGAGAGAAGAGAGAGGCTTCAGGCCCGTTTAAAAACCTGTTTTAAAAATAATTTTTTATTTTCTCTAACAAGAGAATAAAAAAATCTCTTTAATAATATATTTTTAAAAAATATTTTAAAAAATAAAAAAATAAAATTTTATTTTGAAGAACAGAAAAAAAAACTTTTAAATATTCTGAGATTATCATTCTATAAAACAAATAATGAAAAAAAATACTTATTTTTATTATTTTTTATTTTCAAAATATGTTCTATAAAACATTAGTTTTTAGAATAATAAAATAAAAACAGTTTTAACTGACCCTCCTACTTTCTCCAAAGAGTGTTCTCTTGAAACAGTCAAAGTCAAAAATTCTAAAGGCCTATTATCGTGTCCATGTTGACCACCAGTCTTCAGCAGTAGTAACGAAAACGTGTGATGGAGCTCATGTCAAGCTTTGTTTAGTTCCATCCTACGTTGAGACATGCCCAACAATCACAACCTTAATCTCCCATTGGTTGTCAAGGTGAAAGTATGATGGAATCAATTATTAAAGGCAAACCCTAATAAATGAATCTATTTGGATTGAGTTAGCACAAAAATATCTTGATCGACGGCTTTCTTTGGGTCTGAGCACTGTGCTCCCAGAACCCTCACCTTCCATTCATTTTAATAGATATAAAATAGTATTGCTTGAAAATTTTGAACATTTAAATCATGTGAGTAGCCATTGTCAGCATAATAATATTTAATGACTTAAACCATAAAATCATCTTAGTTGACTTTTTTTGAATAGTAAAAACTAGGATGCCATATTTACCTTATGGAGTTTCAAAACTCCTCTCAACATCCTGCCCTATCCTTTTGGACCTATTCCCACCTGTTAATACGTTTGTAGCTTTCAACTAGTGACCGCTTGAATAATAAATGGAATGTTATATCTCTAACCCAAAAAAATATTCCTGTAAACATGAATATGAGTGAGTTAATACCTTAAAGCTTGAGATTCTTTATTTCTCCAAACAAGCACACAACCCCAAACTTTCATATACTCTTGAACATGTTCAGGTAGTAGTAACTTAAAGGATGTGTCCAGCTTCACTCTAATTAGACTTTGACATGTTATAAGAAAAGCTGCTAGGGCATTTGAAGTTAACCTCTCTAAGTGATAAATGGATATGTAATTCAAGCAGCTCATGCTAGCGAGAGCTAAAAGCCCCATATCAGTCACTGAGCAGTGTGACAATTTTATCTGCAACACAAGAAAATTAATGAGTGCTACTTAATTCTAAATATAGTTGTGTTTGTAAAAGATCACAACATCAAGTGTCCTACCAAAGCCTTTATTTAAGTGGCTGAGGATTCAAAATCAGCCACTCACTCTTGCCCTTTTTAAAATTAAATGAAGCAAGTAGGCCTTTATTTTGTCCACATTTAAAACCAAATAAACTTTTATGAAAGGGATATTGTTTGAAGATTATAATAAAACTATTCACTAACGTTAAATTTACAACTTAAACTTGAGTTGATGTGATACTTGATAAATTTAGACAAGACAACTAAGGGAGAAGGAACTTGCCTGAATAAGGTTTTGGCAATGTTGAGTAAGATGAATCATCCTTTCATCATCAACATTACTACACCTTTCGATGTCAAGAAAAGCCAGTTGCCTGCATCTAACAGGAATGGTTGAGAGTCCCCTGGATGAGATGTAAGGGCATCCTCAAATTTCAAGTATTCTAAGCTTCAAGCACTTTGACAAAGATAGAAATGAATTATCAGTCACATTGGGGTTGTAAGCAGTGTTAATGACTTCAAGTGAATGACAACCATCAGCAATTGCAGTAATGGCCACATCAATTAATTCTGAGAACCTGTGAAAGTAAACAAAACAGAATTAAATTTTTAGTTAAAGTTTTCCTTATGAGGTGAAACAAAAATGCAGGAAAAACACCCCTGATCAACATTTCAAAAGGGATAATATGTCTTTTAAAGTTGAGCACTAAGAAACCTGTATAGATCAAGCGAAGTAAGCTTTAAGCGGCTGCTTCCAATATAGCCAAGTCCTTTATCAGTTACATTCAAACATATCCCTAATCTTTAAAAAGATAGTTTGGAACATCTTGTAATCGACTCAAGTCCTACACAAATCAAGCATCATAAATCATTACTCAATGAAATATACAAAAGTCAGTAAATTCAAGGTCAAATGAAACCTTCATCATCAATGTCAGTATCTCTGACATTAATTTCCTTCAGGAACTGGCACCTTCCAATCAACAAAAATGCATCTCTGGAGAGGGTACAAGACTCCATCCCAAGGGAAGTAAGCATCAGGCATGAACTTGTTATGCTGTCCATTGATGTATAAGTTATATTGCGACAACATGTTATGTTCAGCATCCTTAGTTCTTTGTATGTTTGCACAGTAAAAGAGAGGCGCTCTTCTGTTACTAATCTGTATTTGCTTAAGCTCGGTTCTTTGAGTGAGGAATGCCAATTACTAAAGGCCATTATCCCAGAACATCTAACAAGACTACCATCTAAGTTAACCGATTGTAGCCTAGGAGAATCATCGAGACATTTTGCATGATTAGTAGTGAACTGAAAAATGAAAGATTTAGTTTATTAAACATGGCACAAGGGAAAGTACATTAAATTAATTATGAGAGGTATAATTATTGGACCAAGATGCTCACAGAGAGGCTGTATGATAGTATAATCTTTTCCAAGTTTTGAACACCCTTTGTTAGAGCAGATAAGCCAATGTGACTGATATTCTGACAGTTTGACAAGTTAAGCACCTGTAGATAAAAAATAGAAACATTAAAGGACTTTGTCTTGCACAAGTTTTAGGCTCTTTTGAAAAGTGGACTTTTTTTTACAACTTAGCACCAAGTCGTGTTTCTTGGGGCATCTAATAGCATAGGGAACTTTAATTTGCCCAAGTCTAATGGCAATTAAAAAAGTACCTTCAGTGATTGGCAACTTTTTAAAGGGATACAAGGCCATCATCATCAATGCCAAGGCAGTGCTCCAGAACTAAATCCTCTAGGTGTTCAAGTTGGAAGATAGAAGCAAGACATTTTTCTGTGATCTGCAGCATCAGCCAAATGAACGTTGACTAAGTTGTAAAATGTATATGTTGTTTATAAGAAGAAGAAAGCAAGGAAAAACTGCACACATATATGCTTTGTCATAAGCAAGAAAGATGGCCGAATGATTAGTTGTTTCATCCAAAAAGCAAGTGGAACACAAAATCTTTCACCGCTAAACTACTCGCAGGCTTTTGACAAATAATGATATTTGATTGTACAGCGTTGCAGCCTTTTGACCCAGTACTTGTCATCAAGATAGCATGTTCTTACAACAGCCAAAGTTATAACTGAGTAAGCATATCAAGCTCTTTTCTACTAAATTATAGTCCAAGATGCCGAATGCTAAAGTAACTAATTTGATCAGTGTTGCAAAATGTCTATACTCTACACTACCTAAACCTGACACCTGAGCAACTAAGTTTATATTAACAGTTGCTAGGGTCATATCGAAAATTTATAGCATCCCACAAAATAATAAAAATATGCTGAGTTGGAAACTTCTAGGTCAAGCTATACTATTAACATTCAAGTGAAATCCATTTGAGCCAATCAGTCATGAATGCAAATGCATAGTCAGGTCACTTGCTACTCCACGAAGGCTTAAAGAGAAACAGAGTAAAAGATGGATACCGGCAAGTAAGAGAGATCTAAACTCCAAATCTCCTTACATTTTATAGCAATTAAATCAACCCCATAATCAGTGACGAGCCAACACCGCCTTAATCAAATTGACTTCAATTTTAATTTTATGCAATTAACTGCCAAACAACCAACCCCCTTATCCATTATGAATTTACACCTCGACAACCACAATTTCTTTAAATTATTGGCCTCCCTTATTGCCTTGAGAGAAGAGTTCATGACACCGCCTTAATCAAATTGACTTCAATTTTATGCAATTAACTGCCAAACAACCAACCCCCTTATCCATTATTAATTTACACTCACTTGCTACTCCACGAAGGCTTAAAGAGAAACAGAGTAAAAGATGGATACCGGCAAGTAAGAGAGATCTAAACTCCAAATCTCCTTACATTTTATAGCAATTAAATCAACCCCATAATCAGTGACGAGCCCACACCGCCTTAATCAAATTGACTTCAATTTTATGCAATTAACTGCCAAACAACCAACCCCCTTATCCATTATTAATTTTACACCTCGACAACCACAATTTCTTTAAATTTATTGGCCTCCCTTATTGCCTTGAGAGAAGAGTTCATGAGGTCCGTCTGATTCGACAAATTAATATCCAACAAACACAAGCAATTTGTAGCCAAATTCGATAGCCCCTTCTAGGTGAACCATTTAGACCCAGAAAGATCAATTAATCATAAGGACAAACTCTAAGCAAGGAGATTGAGTTCAGTGTGTCATCTTCCACGCGAGGACAGAGAGAGAAATCGATTTGTGATATGGATGGGTAACGGCGGAAGGTGTTGGGAAGAAACTCTAAAAGAACATGGTTTGATGAATTTACGGTAGGCAAACTCGAGAGAAGTAGAAGGATTTGTAGGCCTGAAAAAATGACTTTGTGGCTAATAGGTCATCGTGGAGAAGGTCGAGGATAATCAAAATGATCTCCTCTGTTCGGAGATTGAAGAAATTGTAGTGTTTGTGTGTGGTTGTTCCATGTTCTTGCTCAGCTTTTTTCAGAAGAATTTGTAAGATTTTGTTGAGCGAAGATGAATATTAAAGAGGATCCAATATGAAAAAATAACAGAGCGGCATGTTGAAAATTCATAGTCAACCAGTAAGAGAAAGCAGAGTACTTTTTGTGTGTTCTTCAAGTAAAGACTTAATGAAAGGAGACGAAGAGGGAATTATGTATCATTCTCCAGTGTCCATGGAATCATGATCCTCTAAGTGACAATCCATACTCTCATAGGCGCAGTAGGTGAGCAGGGTGAGGGAATGAGAAAGGTGAGTACAGAATCAGCTGAGTGGGCTAAAGCCGTAACATATCACACGCTCTTTTTCATGGGTGTGAACGCAAGTTTCCAATTGGAGTTGGCTTATTTAACTTGTTAATTTGGTAGGTTGAGCTTAATGAACCGAACCCGAAATAGATAGGTATAATTTTATTATTTCTTTTTTTTAGTTAGTTAAATGAGTTTGCTTGTTTAATCTTAAATTGGGTGTTAATGTTCAACTCATCATTACATGGGTTGAAACACCATAACTCATATCATATGACAACAATTAATCATCTCCTATCATGATAATAAAAGACTTTATCTACCATGATTTAAAAAAAAAAAGATATTATAGCCTATCATAGTAGAAAAATGATTGCCCTTAACTCTATCATAATATTTTAGGCAAGCCAACTTAATTAATAGGAGCTCTTATTATGGCAGAAAAATATTTTCACATAATAATTGGATATCATAGTAGAAAAGGTTAAAAATATTATTTTCAAATATTTAACAATCAAGTCCACATTTGCTATAGTGGGAAAGAAAGAGTGAATCTCCCCTCGTTCAATCTACCATAATAGGAAAGAAAAGAACTAATACCAATATATAGACCTCAAACATATGGGAGCATGCAAATTTTCCAACACACAATCTAGCACACAATGATATAAGAAAAATAATCACAACAACCTAGTGTAGGCTCTGCCCACTCTAATCATGCTAACAATCAGTCATAGAGTTCATCACTTCAAAGCATATTCCACAATTATATGATCACAAAATGTCAAATAGATGAATAAAAAAGAAATAAATGAAAAATATTCAACCATACCTCTGGTCAAATCCTCTCACTCTAGGGCCCAGAGGCTAAAAGAACATATGATTCATAATAAATCTCATAATTCAATAAAGTCAAATTAAAATAAATTAAAATGAATCCTAAGTATGGAAACAAGACCCATCTCTAGGCCATGCTCCTCATAGAGTTGTAAATCTCTACATTTGTTCCTTAGCTAAGGCTCTACTCATTGTTCCTGTAACATTTAAAATAAAAAAAGGGTGAAACAAAGTCTCAATAACCTTTCAAAGTTACGGTGTATCCATAGCTGTTAGGTAACTCGATCTTGTGAATTTTAATAAATAAACACTTCACATGATTCTCATGTTGCAAAACAAAAGAAATCACTACCCTTTTAATCTATAATTAATACAATTTGACATGCTTGAAAAGGATGAATCTAGCATATTCACTATCAAAGTTGTGCAAGCATACTATAATATATTTAAGCATAATCTCATAGTTCACATAACTAAAACTATTAACAACAATCATAACATGATCATATTTCATTAATAAGTAATTATAAAAACTCATGAAACAAGTAGTTAGTTAAAAGATTTATTATTATCCTCTATTCCCTTCCTCATCTCTTCCTTATTATTTCTAAGATTTCAGGTGATATGAGATGATGTCCAGCCAAAAGCCCCATTGCTCCACATCAAGCCTTAACCTCTCCCTTTCAACTATAAGGGATGCCCAAATAGTACCAAGCTTGACCCGACCTTAGCCGAAGGGCTTGGGGTAAATCATATACAACTCAAAGCCTCCTGATGCATGCACGTAAGGATGAGTGCATGATTATGATTCAACTTTATTTCCTCAATTTAACCTATCACTTACAATAGAGCCGGTAATTTGGGCAAACCCGACGGGCCAACCTGAACCCGCCTAAAAATTTAAGCCTGAGGTCAAATAAAATAATATTTTTTATTGGTCGGCCTATTCGGGCCAAGCCCGATCGGGTTTGGACTTGTCCCGAATACCCGAATAGAAAAAATACATTTTTAATAATATATATAATATAATAAATATAAATTATTTTTTAATTTTTATATCATTTTATTTAAAATACCATATATTTGAGTGTATTACTATAATTATTTTTAAAAAAATAAAAATATTATATTTTCCTAGTTTTATAATTTTCAATCAACTAAAATATCTCAAAATAATAATTAAAATATTTTTAATATTAATTTTTATACTTTAAGACTCAATCTTTTTTTTAGAAAATTGAGTCATATACACCATTTTCTTGTCCAAAAATTATATTTTATATTTTTATAAAATAAGATAATTAATTTTAAATTAAAAATAATTTTTAAAAAAAATTTGGGCATGTACAAATTCTGGCTCTACTATTAAATAAACATAATAAGTAAACTAATATTTTTAGATAATTATTTGATTATCATTCACGTCAGACTTAGTTAAAATTAAGAATAAATTAAAATAAATATCCTTTATATATAGGACTTAAACAATATAAAAGGTTAAAGAAAAAATTTAAATAAATAGTATTTTGCCTATAATTAAATAATTTTATTTTATATAATATAATGATGGCTATTTCTCTCATATTTTAAAAACAAAAAGCACAGTTTATCTAATAGTTATTAAAAATTTTGAATTAATTAGAACAATAATTTTAAATTGGTGGTCTAACTGTAGTTGAATTGAGATTAACTTGATCATAATTAAAATAATATGATTCAATTAAAATATATAAATATTTTTATATAACCATGAAAGGAAAATATTTAAATAAATAAGACATCATTTTACATTTTACAAGTAAAAGAATATTCATGAATAAATTACACATAATATAACAAAATAGTAATGGAGCTACTTAAGTACTTAACTAAAAAGTTAATAAGTTATTATTTTTTTATTCCTTTTAAAAAAAAATAATTTTTTAATATAATAAAAATTATTTAAAAAAATTAAAATTAAAATAATAAATAAAAAATATTTTTAAAAAAGTTTTGGGTATTCGGGCTGGCTCGAATAAGCCCAAAGCTCAAAGGTGTTAAGGTCAGGCTTTACTATATGGGCTTTTTAAAAAGAGTAGGATTCTTTAAGCCTAGCCCGAATTGAGACCGATCCGAATAAACCTGGCCCGCTCGCCCAAATTACCGACTCTAACTTACAATCACCCTGTGATAGTGTATTCCAATATATGCATATGACATAGTAGTTAGGCATGCCATTATAAACAAAATCCAATATCACCATCAAGAGTTAGCACATGCCAATCAATCACAGCCATCTTATGTCGCAATTAGTATCGCATATCCAGTCCTAAATTCCTTATAATTCCAGTCAAGTAATGATTCTAGATGATTGTACTAAGCAGCAATTTATTTAAGGTTCCAAGTTCCTTTTATCATCATTAGATTGAGTTTTCACAAATACGTTATAATAGACATGTTCATATAAGGTTTAATTCATTATAACTATTATAAAAATAGCTACCTACGAACTCAAACGTCAAACCAAAAGGAGTCCCTTAAAAAACTCCTATAGTGGGATTACCTCTACATAATTCAATGAATTAGAGCTGCATAAAATGTATATTTAATCATTTATTATTCTTTAGTTATTCAAAATACTTGTAGAAATTATATTTAACTTTACAACTACTCTTGTTAAATTTTACTCATTTTATTTCACATATTTTTAATCTTAGAATCCCTTAAAGTTTCTTCAAAAGAACTCTAAATTATATCAATCATTACTTTTTAACCTTAAAATACTTTTTAACTTTTTAAATTCTCCATCTCCTTTTTCTTTATAAATCATCATCATCATCATCATCATCATTAATAGGGAACATTAATCTTATAATTCTTCAACTTTTAACTCATCTGTAACTCAGTCCCTTAACTATGACTCGCTGGGACTCAATCATTCAACAACTTTGATTCACCTATAACTTAGTCCTTATTTTCTAATTTTTTTAAAAAAATTTCTTATCAAATAAGAGGGATAAAAAAATACTCATATATTATTTTAAAATATTTTTTCCTTGCTCATTGATGTGAGAGATAAGCTAACATGAAAAAAAATTAACTAAAGTTTAAAAACTAATTTATAAGTGATTCAAAAGTTGAGAGACTGAGTCATAATTGAAAGATTGAGTCACAGCGAATCATAGTTAAAGGACTGAATTACAAGTGAATTAAAAATTAAAGGACTAAAAGATTAATTTTTCTTTATTATTATTATTACTACCACTACTACTTTTTTGATATTTATCTATTATCATTATTCTTTAATACTTTTTTTTTCTTTTCATTTTTTTTCTCCTCCTATCTTATCTTATTCTAGACCCAACAAATAAAATAATATATTTAATAAATTTTTATTCAATCAAATTAAAGTAAGAAAATTTTAATATACTAATAATATCATTAACAAAAGTTTGTTATAGAATGAATAAATTATAAAAAAATTTAATGTCTTAATTTAATTGAAAATAAATAATCATCTCTCGTAGGACCACTTCTTTATCATACTCCTGCATTTCGGAGTCATCTACTGGTGTTTGAGCTCTCAATCTCTTCACATTCCCACCCTCATGCTTAAAGCATCTTGGCATGTGAATTGATAACAATCGTACGGGAAATAAACCGTTTTGGGAAAACCCGGCAAATTGGAAAACATTCGACTCCTGAAACCTCACCGATAAGGCAAACATGAAATTGTGTAAATGAAATTTCTGAATACACATACGCGCACAGACATTACACCAGCACTATCTAAATTCTCAATCTACCAGCCAGTTTTGTCGAATCCTCAAATTACACATAGCCCCACCTGCAGCTTTCTTACTTTCCCGTAACCTACCGCTACTGCAGCTACTTTCTTAATTATCTATATTGAGTAGAGTATCCAAAAGTACTAGAAAGTGCTCCTTTGCACACAGGCAAGTGATGGAAAAATACAACTAGCAGCTGAAAAATGATCTACTTTTTAGCAAAATTTATGACCATGGGTTTCTGAGGAGTGATTTTGAAGCCTTGAAGTGCCTGCATGGCCATGGAGGACTGTACCTCATCTTCAAAGTCTACAATGCAATACCTGGCTTTGCCTCAATCAGACGCACCTCTTTAAAACCAGGGTATTGTTGGAAGAGCATTTCAAGCATCCTGCTGGTTGTCTCGTGAGGCAAATTCTCTATAAACAAAATATTGTTTGGAGCAGCTGCTTCTTGAGCACCTGATCCATGGCGGAAGGCAGACTGCAAATAAAAAGCAGATACATTTTAGTTCACAAGTTATATTCCGATCATGTCAGATTACTCCAAGACTCAAAGTTTGTCAGAAGAATGAAGAATAAAGGAGATTCACCAAATAAATACTAACAACAAATATTTATATTAAAAGAGAGAAAGGGGTGTGGGGGAGGGGAGGAGGGCGAGCACCGGAGGTTGGTATACGGTAAGAAACATACCGTTGGGCCACCATTACTTGCACCATGCGTACCATTAGGCACAGAAGATTGCTGAGCTTCTTCGGCGCGTCGCTTTCTTTCAGCTGAACATGGAATGTCATGTAATTCAAATAACAAGTAATTAACTTTGAGCCTTTTGTAGAAGATCAGATAAAGATGGTAAAAGGCAAGTAACGAACTTTTCAATTATGCATAACACAGATGTCAAAGTTCATTTCCAAAAAGCATGGACAGAGTATTAACCCTGATTTACTGTGTGTTGCTTGCAATGCATAAATTCTACGATCCAGCTGTGTAAGATGGCTTGCCACTTTTTGATAATTAATTACTAATCAATAATGCTAATTGATAACATGAAGTACACTATGCCTATGCAATCAAAAAACAAGGAGGTTCAGACTTGAAAGAAAGCAAAAATATGCTACTGCTCACCTTTTTCCTCTTGTTTTTCTTCTTTTCCCTTGGAACATAACTTCCCTCTTCTTTAGCAATGCAATCTGACTTGTTTTGGCATATTGGATTCGCTGCATAAAACAAAAAAAATACTATACTTAAATATTTACTGGTAGAAAAATTAAAGAACTCACAATAACATGGAAACATGTTAGAAAAGGAGAAGAAACAGACGGTATATCATCCAAATCTTTCCTATTCTTGGATAGGAACATAAGGCCTGGTAGATGTTTAGACCAAAAACCAGACAGACAAAACAAGTAATAGTTTTCATATGCATGCTTTTTTTTTATTTTTTTGCATAAAAATGATACACAATAGACAGATACATAAACCTACAGTAGTTGGAACGATAGAGTAAGATAACCTGACCAAGCACTTATAAAAGCTAAAGATATATATATATATAAAAGGCTGAATGCAAATGCAAATAAAGTGCTCATGAGACAAATATTGATTACCATTGGCTTGTCATAAAATGGGAAGTTCTGCATTTTGTCGCACTGCATTACTGGCAGCTGTAACTTCACTAAAACAAACCCAACCCAAGCTTGAGCTTGTCCCGAAGCTTGGGTGTCTTTAAAGCAACAACATCCAAAATCCTTCCATATTGTGAGAATAAGCAATACAATGATCTCTTTAACTCTGCTATTTCCATACCAAAACAGAATTTATTACTAAAGTCCATCATAGGTTCACAGTAAAACATAAATATTAACATGACAAATTAACAGAAGCAGAGAACATCCTATATATTGTCAATATCTCAAGCACAAACCATGGGCACTTGTCAGGCAAGACCTGTGGCTTTGGCAGTGGGCACACAACTTATCAGATTCCATTCATGACGTCACACATTATATGTTTCCAGATTGTTACACAACCAGACCATTTTATGTTTACCCCAGACTACAAGCTGTGAGATTACACCACGAGATAGAAATATTATCCACTAATAAGTTCGTGCTTCAATCACCTGTCAGTGCCAACAAGTTGTTATAAACATGCGAATTGCATCTTTTAAACCATGGAACCCAAGCATCATCCATAGACAAACAAACTTAACGAGACCGGTCCACTATTCTAAAAGCAAAATAAAACCTCATACTTGGACATTGGCCACAAGACAGTAAATATTTGAAACACGTTTCCATAATTAGTGCTTTACCAGCAGTGCCACGGTCGTCTCATTCGCGATGCAAGGAAATTATAAATTCAAACGCCAGAGTTTATGACTCAGTCCAGTTTTAAAAAACCAGCAAGTAGTTTCGGGTGGTTTATTTCGGAACTTGATATTCATTTTAAGAGAATTTGAAAAACAAAAGAAGATAGAGAAGTCATCCGACCCAACAAGATTTGAGTCGCGACAATTCACAATAGCGGAATACATGAAAATCAAAACAGTAATCATTCTAATAGTAACGAAAGTGAGGAAGTTAACCTTCTTTCTTGACCTTCTCATTGAGATTCTTAACATATATAGTCTGGTTAGGAGGTATGTCCCCTGAAAGCATGATCTCCGCGGTTCGAACGAGGAAATGAGGGCAAGGCAAAAAGCTCAGTTCTGCGACAAGCTCACATACGACGGTATTCAATTTTGGATCGAATAGAGCCCTAGAATTTTACGTCCAAACTTTCTGGGCTTCAATTTTAGGCCTACTCTTTCTTCGCAAGCCTCATGCCTTGAGGCGTTCAAAACAAGGAGAATTGGCCCAAATGTGAAAGATGATCATAATGAATAGACATACAATAGATTTTTTTTTTAAATAAAACACAACTCTTAACCCTACAATTTCATTGTGACTTGGTATAAGTTATTGTAGTTTTTTTTATTATTTCATGTTCCTCTAATTAATTCTGTATGCAATGTTAGTCTATTTATTTTTAAATATGGTCAGAAGGACAATAATGTAGCATTAACATAATTGAATTTGTTTGACTAATCACTAATATTGTTAACATAGAAGGGGAAAAAAAGTCCAAATCTTAAGCGACAAAGGCAATACGTGGAGTGACGCCACTTAATCAGACGTTGTTAGAACATTATTTGGAGGAAAAATGCTTGACCCCCGCTACTTACTTGGACGCCAAAGGGCATTGTCAGTGTCAGACATTGTCTCCCTTCAGGCGTTAGTGATATGTCAACATATTTGACATTATTAATGCCACCTTAACATTCTTGTGGATATATTCAAAAATAAAAAATCTGATATTGTGAATAGAATAAACTAACAGAATTTAAAACGATGAAAAAATATAAAGACTTGTGCAAAACATGTTAAAATTATAAAAACCAAAAACACGTTAAAATTGCAGGGAATAAAAGTTGCGTTTGTTTACTTGTCCAATTTTTTTTTTTTGTGATGTTTGCGTCAGAATTCATTGACATTTTAAGAAATTTATTTTTTAACAAAAGGATTAGAAAGAACAAGAGCATAATTATTGCGTGCCCCCGGTGAGTGAACTCCATTTGTTTGCTTCGTTTTCTCGCTTGCTTTGGGTACTAGCCACAAAATACACAGGGTTTAATTTAAGATTCTCTTTGGCACGAGAATAAACAGAGACGTGTTTAATGTTCATGTTCTTATTAGGACCACGTTTGATTTGCATTTGCCCATTTTGTTTAAAGTTTCATTCGATTCGGCAGGAGAAAAAATAGAAGCGAAGATACTTCAGAATCAGATCGTTTCACATTTATGAGATGGCATGAAGATATTTTCTCAACCGAGAGGCAAGTTATTATACAGTCAAAAAACGGACGACAAAAATTGAAATATCAAAATGATCTAATGGTTCAAAAATTGCAACGTCACTTAAAAGAGAGCATACATAGGAAGCATGTAGCATGCCTAATTCAATCCTTAACAAATGAATATCAACATATTGAGATGAGTGCAAATTTTAAAAACCGGTCAAGTATAAAATAATTGGACTTTACTTTGATAATGATATGAGATAAATGATATTAATATAACGTATGAAATAATTGTCAAAATGAAAAGTGCAGGGTACTTTGATAAAAGCATATATACAATAGGCCTTTCGGCTCAAATCAATCCCAGGAGAACCAAAACGGCCTTACATCTTTCTTCAGTGCTTGCGTGGACAAAGATCTACTTACTAGGTACAAGAGCAAGAGTAATGACAGAAATGAAGCCATGGCAACGCTTGAAATGGAATAATGGAAGCAGTGGCTGCGAGACGGACTATTGAGAGAAGAGCAGGGAAGGTGGATATGTGGTTTCAGTGGAAAAATCAACTCCGTTCCACCAACTATTGCTGAGTTAATTAGTACTATTGTACATGGGCTGAGGGTTTGTTGGCTGCGTGGACTTAAGCAAGCGTGTTTCTTTGGACTGTACAGAAGCAATTTCGCTGGCTAATTTTAGGAGGGTTCGATGTCCACCATCCGTATTGCTGAGGAAGTAAGATCCTTGCTTCATCAGGACCAGCACGTGGTATCAAAACGTGTGTATAGGGAGGAGATTAATTATGCCCGCCTCCTTGCCAAGTTCTCTCACAACTTCGATTCTAATTCTGTTCTCCTTGATCAACAACCCATCTTTTTAAGCAGAATGGTGGCTGATAAAGGACTGACTGTCTTTTGTTCTTTATTTTCCCGTTACTAGCGTTTCCGCTGTGAGTTGCTTTTATTAGTAATGATATCCAATTTTAATTAAGAAAAAAAAAAAGGAATTATGCTGTAAATAAAAGGAACAGTGCATGAGGAACAATTCAAGCAAGTGTGCAAATGTAGTAATACAAAAGAAAAGTGTGGTCTAGGATTAAAATCTGATGAAGCCTTTTGTACTGATCTGTTCTTTTAATTTGGCACGATTACTTTCGAGTGGTTAATGTTTAATGAGATTCGTATAATAGTGGAGACTTGACTTTTGAGCTACACCACCCTCGTGAATTCCCCTCCGCAAAGGATTAGGAAATCCGCTCCAACGAATCACGTTTTTAACTCTATTTTTTGTAGTTACATGTGTGCGCCCACGTGTGCGCGGATGTGTAGTTTAGGCTCTGAGCTATTGCATATAAGCTTGTGCCTTCTTCATATCCACACCATTACTATTACTAATTAAATTAAATCCCTTTCATCTCAAAATCTGCGCTGCTGCTCCCATGCCAGAGAAAAATCTCATCAAAAACTGCTCTTCAGAAAAGAATGGTGATTCCCTCGTACCAAAAAGGTTTGGCTATCTCTATTTCACCTTACTCTCCATGGTTAATTCAAAATCGCAGTAACACATCACCCGTTTATCATTATCCTCAATGTCGTTAGAGGAATTATCACATGAGATTGGTCGGTTTCTGCGATCACATATATGTTCAGTGAGAGATTAATGTCTATGCAAACTATATAGTTCTTCAGGCTCACTACATGGATCATGCGTGCGAATAGAGCGAAGGAGCCAGATGCTCCTAGTATCTGGCCTGATCTTCTCTTGTATAGCTGTATGGATAGTTTCTTCTAAGAAAAAAACGCTTATCGTTTCATAGATATATGGGTTTCTGTTATACAGGCTGGAGGGACAAGTCGCAATCATAACAGGTGGAGCCAGAGGAATCGGAGAAGCGACGGTGAGACTCTTCGTCAAACACGGTGCTAGAGTGGTCATCGCCGACGTCGAGGACGCACTCGGCACCGCACTCGCCTCCTCTTTATCCCCTTCCGCCACCTACGTGCACTGCGATGTCGGAAAAGAGGGAGACGTCAGAAGCCTCGTGGACACCACTGTCTCCACCTTCGGACGCCTCGACATAATATTCAACAACGCCGGAATTCTGGGAAGCCAGTCAAGAAACAGGATGAGTATCATGGAATTCAACCCAGAGGAATTCGACCGCATCATGAGCGTCAACGTGAAAGGCACCGCACTGGGGATGAAGCACGCGGCGAGAGTGATGGTTCCGGCACGGCGCGGGTGCATAATTTCGACGTCGAGCACAGCCGGGTTCATGGGTGGGATGGGACCGTACGCTTACACTGCGTCGAAACATGCCATTGTTGGGCTGACCAAGAACGCGGCTTGTGAGCTGGGGACGTATGGGATAAGAGTGAACTGTATATCTCCTTTTGGGGTGGCGACCTCCATGCTCCTTAATGGATGGAGAGGAGAGGATGATTCAGAGCCAAAGGGAGTGCCCAGTGAAGAAGAGGTTGAGAAATTGGAGGAGATAGTGAAGGCCATGGCTAATCTCAAGGGTCCTGCGCTTAAAGCTATGGACATTGCAGAGGCTGCTCTTTATTTAGCAAGTGACGAGTCAAGATAATGTTAGTGGTCATAACCTTGTGGTGGACGGTGGCTTCACCGCTTCTAAGAACTGCGTGGGACTCTGAGTCTGGTCATTGATGGTTACGTCGAAAGTCATCGACAGTTATTGATGAGTCGTTAACGATATTATTAATTTATTATAATGTTTAAGATATTGCATGCTTGGTATCTCTTATTTTTAATTAGAAACGGACTCTGATGGAACTAAATACATTTAGCCAATAAGTATATCAACTGCAAATTTACAATCATATTTTATCAACATTTAAAAATTATTAAGATCCATTTTTTAAAAAAAAATTAAAACAAACCTCACAATTAGAATACTCCTAATATATATTGTCATCTCCAAGAATTATCGATGTTTGCTAATTATCGTATAACAAAATCTCCCATCGTTCCTGCCAAAAAAAAAAATATCTCATCGTTGTTCAATCCAATGGTCATTCTCATATCATGTGAGACATTTATTAAATGATTATTTGAATTCAAGATACTCATTAGATCCTTTTTTTTTTTTTTTTGTTGAGGTCACCGTCGTTCTTCGCAATTTGCGTGGATATTAAGAACTGGACGATCTCACGGACACAAATATACGGAACATTCATGGTAATGATAATGATGAGAGTGGCCACTAAGCAGACTCTGGCGTGTCTCTACAGGGCGATTACGGATTACCTTTGTGTATGAACGAAGAAGAGAGTGATGTTTTAGTTTTGAATATAAATTTAATTTAATTAAATATCATATTTTTAATTTAGTTTAAATGTTTTTGTGTGTGTGGAAAGTTTCAGTGTAGACCCATTGATCAAATATAATTAAAAAGAAAATCTCTTAAAGTCTGAAATTTAACTACAGACCAAGGGTAATGAAATGAAATTAAAATACAAACTAAAATTATCTCATCATTCCAAGTAGCTTAAGCCTGTTAAAAATATTTACAAATTTTTCATGTTAAGGTTGTTTATTTTGCATATTGATTGTGGTTACTTCTTCTATGAGAGTTGTTTGTGCGTGTAACTTTACTTAATTTTTTTTAGTGTTGTCATTATAGTAAAAAGAGTTGCAAGTTCGTATACTTTAGTTATTCATTGCCCATGATGAAGTAATTATTTTTTCTATATGAGTTAATTGTGTGCATATCTTCATTTGATTTTATTTTTAATATTATTATTATGATAAAAATAATTATAAATTTTTTATACTAAAGTTATTTATTTTCCATGCTTCTCTTGCAGAAGTTGTTGGTGTACAGAGCTTCATCACTTGTCTTTTTATTTGAACTGTTGTTATCATAATAAATAAAGTTTTAAATTCTTCACACTAAAGTTGTTCATTTTTTATCTTAAAGTGATTAATTTTTTTATTAGAATTATTTGTGCGCATAGCTTCATTTTATTTTATTCTTAGTATTGTTATTATGTTAAAAAGAGTTATAAATTTTCTATATGTACTATAATTGTTCATTGCCTATTTAAAGTGGTTATTTTTTTCATAAGATTTGTTAGTGTGTATAACTTCACTTAATTTTATTCTTAGTGCCATTATTATTGTAAAAACAGTTACAAATTTTTTATATTGAATTTGTTCATTTCCAATTTTAAAGTGATTAATTTTTCTACAAGAGTTGTTGGTGCACACTATGAAGTTGCAAATGTCTCATTAAAGTCTCTTTAGCTCTCTATGAAACACACCCAGAATGTCATGTGTTTTATGGAAAAAAATAAAATAAGCATGGTATTGAAACCCGGACCGGACCGGCCGGGTCAACCCGAAAACCAGTGACCCGGTCCCTTGTCCGGTCTGGGTTTATTCCTAAACCGGTGACGAAATAAATCGGTGTAACCCGGTTAACCCGGGTTCAACCCAGTATAACTCAGTGGGTTGACTGGGTTAACCGGATTATTTTTTTTGAATTTTTTTTTTCATTTTTTATTTTTCAGAGTGCTGAATTTAGAAATAAGATAACAAAAAAAAAGTAAAACTAAAGTCAAAAAATAAAAAATTAGAGATAGAGCACGCTAAGTCCAATTCAGATTTTCAGACAGCATTTATTTCGGCCTTTCATCTGTGTCTCTCCTCTCTCACCCTAACCTAATCAGTGTCTCTTCTCTAGCTTAGTCTCCGTCTCTTCTTCAGGCTCTAGCTCTATCTCCATCTCTTCTCCAGCTCTATCTCTGTCTTTGCTATCTTCATCTCTTTTCCAGTTCAGTCTCTGACTCTTCTCCAACTCTATTTCCATCTCTTCTCTAGACTTTTGAGATTGAAGAGTTGTAAGTGTAATGAATCATGATAGATATTTAAAATATTGTATTTTATTACTATTAGACTTTTGAGTAGTTGAATTTAGTTGAATATTTTTATAATTAATGTCTTTTTATTTAAATTGTATTATTTTAATCATGACCGGTTTGCCACCGGTTCAACCCCCAGTTCAACCCTAATTGAACCACTAACCTGTGACCCAGTGCCATAACCGGTTCAATAACCGGTCCGGTTTTACGTACCTTGAAAATAAGACATACTTGTATAATTATTCATGTCTCACGTTCACTTGAGTAAGTTGATATCATTTATGATTTTTAAATAGCATTTTTTTACGTATCTTGTACAATATATCAATAATATATTACTTTTATTAAAAATATAACATATTTTTTAAATAGTTGGTTGTTGAAAAATATAAAATAGCTTTAGTGTTTCAAATTGTCATTATTATACTTTTTTCAAAAAGTGCCCATCGTAATAATACATTACTTTATATATTTATTTTATAATAAAATATTATATTAAATAAATGTAAATATGAAAGTATAGTATTAATTGATTTTAAAGATGATTAACTATTTTGTTTAGTTGTAATATTTGACTAAGAATGTCTTTTATTTTTAAATAAAGTGAGTAGTATACTAATAATGTATTGATATGTTGATATGGGCTGCCAAATAACAAAAATAAAATATTCTGATGATAAGAAACTCTGAATTACAGATTCTGCATATAGTCAATTCATGGATCATTGTCAAGATAGGAGTCACTAGCAAACTTTTTTTTTTTTTTAAAGGCCTAATCCCGTAGTTTTAAGTGCGCTTTATCAAAATTAATCAATATACGTACCATGTGCATATCTCCTTAAATATCTTCCTTTAATTACACACAATAAAAAATGCGTCATGAAAGCGGCTTTCCTTTTTTTTTTTTTGGGTTGTTCCTGGGTGTAAAATAAGTGAATTCCAGTGCAAAACTAAGAATATGCATGGTTTGCTAAAAAAAATAAAAATAAGAATAGGCATGTATACGAATTTCCCATCTCCTCGTCAAAATCAAATTGACGGATGGACTTCAGCCCCTCTTTCTTTGATCTTTATCAAGAAAAGTCTGTCGATAGATCATGATTTATTTGGACCAAGCTTGTTCGTCTGGTCCAACTTTTCAAAGTAATTAATTTAACTCATAATGACGCTTATTACCTTGGATCCTTGTAGCATATATACTCAATGGCCTTTCAAATAGCTCATATTTTTCATATTAGCTTCATTTTTTTCTCTCTTCATTTTTCTTTGCTTTTTTCATCTCAACTATTCATATTATTTTATTAAATAATTTTTTTAAAATTAAAAATAATATGAATGGTTGAGATGAAAGAAGTGAAAAGAATTAGAGAAGTTCCTCTCCCATGCTCTCCATCCAGCACATGCATAGGCGAATATTCCACCATACCACCAAGGTTTTGAAAGGCGAATATTCGTTTTCATTTCCAGCGACGTTTTCACATTGCACCCTTTTCTAAGGGTTACCTATATAGCTGCCTTATTCACCCAAACGGCCAAACCATCCAAGATTGCCAAGAGCTATCTACGTACCTGATTTTTTTTATGCAGGACCCTGAAGAGTTGCTTTCACCATTGCCATTATTTGGCCTTGTTTATTTTACATCCACAATTCCTCCCATCGCCCCCAACAAAATATCAACTGGTAAATACATATCATATTCCCATCTACTTTTCCTCTGTCCCCAATAAATGTTTGTGCACAGCTCGTCGTTGTGTCGTCATAAAACTATTTAGTTAGCTACACTGTTGCTTTCCAGAGACATCCCTTCCAACCAGTTTTGATTTTTATTCGTGATGACTTGGTGACCTTGAAGGACTACTTGTACGACACATTTTTTTAACACGAATTAATGCAAAATATCGTAGCAGTGTTGCTTTCAAGGACAGCCATAATTGAATTGATCTGACAGCAGCATATGTAACACATTCAACTAATCCAAGGGAGAAAACTGTGAGCCAAGCAGATCAGGAATCTATATGGATATAATGTATCCATCTGGTATAAATTAACGTTGATTCGCGCTCATATTGTTGTAATCGATCAGTAGAGTTTGTGCATATTTTAATATTGGAACCAGATCACTCGACACTTGTAAACCTCCGTTGGTTGCTTTCATTTTGCCCCAATATATAATCAAGCAAATCAGCACACGCGGCTATAATTCTTTCGGATCCATTAATATATACCGCACAGCTCCATTATTCGTTTAAAATATACCAGAAGATTCTGGTCTTGGGCAAAGTTTTTGTCTTTATTTGAGGATAGAATCATGCTTCGCTCGCCTTTGGTATATTTCTGAACTATACTTTTTTTTTTCTAATGATCAACCGCAATACAATAGGCTATTAATTAATTATCACCAATCTATATAAAGAGATCAAACTCTTCAACATGTATGTACCTAAACAACCCAGTCATTCTCTCTTCACACTAGATTGGGCTTTGGGTTATTATACATGACCTGCGACGAGATCTCGCCGGGGGGATGCGGAAGCACGTCGGTGGCGCCGGAGGTAGAAAACAAGAATAGAAAGACAGTGAAGATGTTGTATAAAGCACTGCGTCACGGGGACAGAGAGAAGGTTACGAAGCTGGTAGGACCGAACTTGGAGTGGTGGTATCACGGGCTTCCTAACTGCCACTACATGATGAAGATGTTGACCGGGGAGTCAACGCACACGGCGTTCAAATTCAGACCCAGGAGAATCAGGACCGTCGGTGAGCGCGTGATCGTAGAAGGATGGGAAGGGGCGGGGGCGTACTGGGTGCATGTGTGGGGACTCGGGCATGGAATTATTGCTCAATTCCGTGAGTACTTCAATACTCTGCTTACTGTCGTGCTTCGCGTTTCAGGGAATGGGAAAGAGACGCGCCTTTGGCAGAGCATGAATCGGGCTAGGGTTAACGGGTCGTTGCCCGATCTCGTGCTTGTTATCTGATCCAACTAGACTCTATATGGCCGTTTAACTTGTAATACGTACACTGGCACGTAAACAAAAAAGAAGTAGTAGAAAGAACGAACTGGAATAACGATCTTTTATATATGCGTGATGATGCCATGTGTATTTGTGCTTCATCAGACTTGTCATAAGACCTTTGATTGTATTTATATTATTTTGTAGACTAGATGATTATAACCTTAGTTATCTTCGGCCCGGGAAAATCATAGATTCAAATCTTATATTCAAAATTCCAGTTGTACAGGACAACAGGTTTGAATTTCGAAATAATCTGGAAAAATGGACGTTGTTTTGTGAATGAATAAGTGCGGAGCTGCGGAGGCATGGGAATGAAAGCAACGAAACCTGGTAAAGTTTCCCCTGCTTGGTTTTAAAGCTACTTTTTTAAATGTTGGAAACGAATGGAGCGTCTTTGATGCTAGATTTTATCCGCTTGCGATGCTTGGGAATATTAATCCTCATTTTTTATTTAAAGTAGATAAAAAAGAAAAGATTTTTTAAAAAATAAATAAATATGTTATAAAATTTTATTTGAGGGACGTAAAATAAAAAAATCAATTAAAAACTGTATAACTACAATTCTCCATTTTTTAAAATTGGGGTTGCCAAAATTTAAAATCCCACCTCCCAATCATTGTCTTTGATCCAAACAAATCATAAGTTAAACTATGAGTAAATATTAATTTGATAATTTTATAAAAACAATGGTTTATAGAAAGTGTGAAATAAAATTGTATATGTGGTTATAGAAAAATAATTATAATAATAAAAATTAACTATATGTTTTTATTTCTCCAACGTATTTGATTAAAAAATAACTTGTTTTTTCCATAAAATTTGTTATCTCATATATAATTAAATATAGACAATAATTTATTTTAATCTATAAATTGTTATATCCATGTAAATTAAAATTATAAAACATATAATAATAAAAAAATTAAAACACATGCCTTGTTTTAGAATGTTTTTCTTTTGAATTGTATGAACATCTTATTTTATGCTAGTATTAGCTATATATAATAAAAGAAGAATAAAAATTATTTCTCATTGGGAGAGGTGTCTGCATTTAATGTTCGATTGTACCTCAAATAGAATTGCTTTCAATAGGAGAATACTTATTAGCAATTAAAAATAGATAACAATTTGTTTCATTCTTACACAAATTATTTTAAAATATGATATCATGTGCTTATGTGATCTCCACATAGATTAAAATTTAAAAATCATATTCTCGTTAAAAAGTTATTACTTGTGAATATAAATAACTAGTTACTTTATTTAAGAATTTCTTATACTTGCGCATATAAAAAATACAAATAACATATTTTTTATATGATTATCTAACTAAATTAAATTTGAGAATTGTTTAACATAATTTAAAATAGCTCTTTCGAATATAATTTTTGCATTCACACAAATTTTTACTATATAATTTTTCACCTTTTCAAACTTATTTTGTATATATTAAAAACGTAAACAACATTTTATAAACAAAATTTATTGGCCTTACACTTTGTTATTAAAATTTAAAAATTAAAAATGAAATTATAATGTAAACAAACAAACAATATATTAAAAAATACTATCATTCAATATAAATTATAACTCATTCTACTTTATAATTTATTATCTAGTGCATATTTAAAAAGGGATGATAAAATTTACTTCAATTATAATTTAGTATTTTAAATTTCTCTTAATAATAATTTAATCCTTCGAGTTTATTGTTTGAAAAAGGGATGATGATAAGAGACTGGAACATTGTGCTATTGTGGTGTAATTGTGAGGCCAATACAATCGTCAATCTACTGACAAAGGAAGCTTTGAACTAGATGATGGATATGGTGTTTTTCACAATGCTACCTGTTTTTATTTCTAATAGTTTAGAATCTTACTGCAGGGATTATTTCCCATGTTCTTATTTTACATCAAAAAAAAAAAACAAAAAGAAGAGGTGATATATTGTTAAAATTTGCTAATATAGATAAAAATTATTGAATCAATAGCCATATAAATCAAGGATAAAATAGAATTGACTCGAAAGCAAATTTGTTCTTATTTAATCATATGTAATTTGTTAGATTATCAACGTACTTTATATATTAGATTAATTTAATGGTCAATTTTTGTTTTAAAACCTAAAATCTTGAGGTAACAATTTGAGAAAACATAAGGAATTAAATTAATAAAATTATACTTGAGAAAATAAATTAATAATTAAGCAAGTTTGAGATTTTCCTTTTAAAAATAACAACGTACTTTATTCAAAAATTCATTGTCCCACGGATATTAAATATATGAACACCAACTTATTATAGTTTAAAATTTAATGTTCATGATAAAAAATAAAAACACATCTCATGCATAAATATAAGAATTTATTTTTTAAAAATTATTCTATAATTTATTTTATGCATGTAGGCCTAAATTTCAATGGACGTAGACTTGAATTTTTATAACTTGTAAAAATTAAATTTATTATTTTATTATAAGTTCCTAATTTACATTTTTATTACACATTTGACATTTAACATCTACAACCACATTTATAATAAAAAAGTAGATATTTTATATGATAAAATATCATACAACAGTCCAATTACATTAAATCATTGTTATCATACTGCACGTGACACTTATTAAGTAATAGAATTTGTTTTGGTCATTGAATCTAAATATGATATATCTCACAAAATCACTATAGTTATGTCATATATAATCCATTAATAAATTTTACTATACATTTCCCTCAATTTTTAAATATAAGCAAAATTTAATTTTCACATGGTTTGTTATTATTTTTTATAAGCAAAAAAATAATTTTCAAAAAGTATTCATGACACATTTTCCTAATTACTCTTCGTTAGATGACAATATCATTAAACTAGGATACAAGTATATCTTAATCCAAACTTTTTCATGTTAGGTATAATTATTAGGATTAATTAATTTTCTAAACTATATGAATTAATTAAAATTTACTCATATAAAAATGAATGGGAATAATTTGATTGATTTAAATAATGAAATATTTTATTTTATAATTTATTATTTAAATTTGTATGTTATACATAATTAATTGTTAGTTAAAGTATATATTTAATCCTTTAACTTTATACAATATTTTGTTTCAGTTTCATAACTTTATAACATATTTTTTTAGTCTTTTAATTCTATTTCTATTAGTTTTATCTTAATAAATTTTTATACTAAACTTTTAAATATTAATAAAATATTTTCAAATGTTGACATATTAAGTTTAATTTTTTTATAATAATAATAATTAATATAAAAAATAATCATTTAAAATTGATGATATTAGGGCCAAGGGAGGAAAAAAAATACTTTACAAAATTAAAGAACTAAATTAAAACTTTATATAAATTTATATGACTAAAAATATAATTTAGTCATTAATTATCTGATACATATACAAAATACAAGCAATAAATAATAAATATCCTACATTCGCAAGAAAAAAGATCTCATACATATTATTTTTTATGAGTCTCATATTTACAAGCATCTTTTACTATGGGTTCCACACTTATTTTTTAAATTTGTATGTTATATACAATTAATTATCCAATACATATGCAACATACAAGCAACAAATAACAAATCTCCTACATTTAAAAAAAAAGATCTCATACATATTTTTTTATGAGTCCCATAATTTTGTTGGACCTAATACGAGTCTTATATTTATAAGCTTTTTTTATTATGGATTCCACGCTTATTTTTTTAATTTGTATGTTATATATAATTAATTATCTGATACAAATATAGAATATAAGCAACGGATGATAAATATCTTACATTTGCAAAAAAAAAATTAAATCTCATACATTTTTTTTTAGTCTCATATCTGGAAACATTTTTTATTGTGGGTTCCACACTTATTTTTTTAATTTGTATGTCATATACAATTAATTATCTTATACATGTATAAAATACAAGTAATATATGATAAATCTTCTACATTAAAAAAAAAATATTGGATCTCATGTTACGTACAATTAATTATCTTATACATATATAAAATACAAGCAATCAATGATAGATCTTCTACATTTATAAAAAAAAAATATTGGATTTCATATAAATTATTTTTTTATGAGTTTCATATTTACAATCATTTTTTAGTTTAGGTCCCACATTTATTATTTTAAATTTTTATTATAAGTTCCGTATAAACTCTTGTTATGCAAAAATCAGATTTTGAAAAAAAAAAAAAAACTGTGGCAGTGTTCATTCAACGATAGATGAACAGTATCATGTATGCAATTTCTATTTTTATTTTTCAACATTTCAAAAATCACTTTGTTGTGCAATATATTTATGTTTGTTTTAGAATCCATTCGATTTTTTATTTTAGCCAGAAAAGAATCGAATTGATTGTCTGTGTGTTCTATCAGGTCTTACAGTTTGACAGCCTACTAACGATGCTTTCAATTTTTCTAAAGCGCTGTACGGATTTTACTCTATATTTTGCAAATATTTCCAGAAAACGTCTCCTTCCAAAGTCGACTCGACACCTTTTCACTCGTTTTATGTTTCCAATGGAGATGAAGAACATGCACCACACTTTCGGTAGTTCTGTAAAACTGTGAAGACGTAACCTTCTGTCAACCGCAAATTTGTAAAAATCCACCCCATTATTTTTTCGTAAAAAATCTGGTTTTTAGTGATGCCTACTCGAATACTACTGTGTCTACATTTGTAAAAATCCACCCCATTATTTTTGTCCGTAAAGAATCTGGTTTTTATTAATGCCCACACGAATATGTTCAGGGCTGTACAAAAAATTAGATAACACTAGACTTTATCCTAATTGAAAGTCTCATCTCTTTAATAAAAAAGATTAGATTAGACAACCCATAAGTCAGTTTTGTCTAGCGATAACCTAAAAATTAATAGAATCGAACTTGGTTCATAAGATTGAGAGATGATCTTATTAGTTTAATACCCACTTAGTTTTTTTTTTCTTTTTCATCTATGAATCCATTTCAACCTAATAAATTTAATTAAAATAATAAAATCACTTATAATCATAACGAATCTAAAATAATTTTCAACAACAAGAAAAAAATTTTAATTACAGTTCAAATAATTTAAATTTATAACTTCAATAAAAACAACACTTAATAAGCTTCAACAATATTATATTACAACAATAATTTAGAAACAAACTTAACAAATCTTCATACAATTATCCTTAGCGTTAATTATATTTGAAGCATTTGTCAAAAATAAATTAATTATAATAATATTAAATAAATTAATAGGACTGAAATATATCAAATGGTCTAAATGTTCAATCTCTTATGCAATTCAACTCTAAAAAATAGTCTAATCTTTTTAACTTTTTTAATCCTAAAAGATCGATTTATATAAAGAATGAATAGGATAATTTCATGTTAGATTGAATTGGGTTGGATAAAATTAAAAGATTTTTGCACAACTCTAAATATGTCTATATTGCGCTTAGATGAATCCTTCTTATGTGATTCACAAAAGCGACAAGAATTTTTATTATTTTGAAAATTATATTCATTCTTTATCATTTAAATTCTAGTGATAAATATATGAAGAAATATTAAATAATTAGTTGCACAGAGTCTGCGCTCTGAAAAGAGCTTTGCTGTTTATGACTTGCGAGGCAGCTTCCGTACAGATGAGATGATGAGATATACCTAGATAATCTTTTGTTTAATTGATAGAGAGTTACATTAGGTTATTTTAAGATCTCAGTTTAAGTCCTATAATATACCGTCATATTAAATAAATCTGATAAAAACATTTCTAAGGTGAAATAAAAAAAAATCTGATCCATTGTTTATGGCTAGATTTTATATATTTTTTTGATAAAAAAATTTTATAATTTATTATTGTCACATCGATTATCAATCGATTATGGGCCTTCTATGTCGAGGCTGAGAACATGCTTAAAGCCCAAATCTACTAGTCCAACCATAAGCCCAAGTGAAAGGCCCTCCAAAACCCAACATCAGACAAGACGTAAGTACGATAATATCCCTGCGCCATTTCCATTTTCTAGAGCTTCCACCCTTCCTATTCCTAGCTCCTATTCCAAAAGGCCAAAGCCCAAAACCTCAGCTCTGTCTCTCTGTGAATTCAGAGGAGAATGTTGCGGTCTGCTGTTAGAGCCGCAGCTACGAGCTCCAGAACCCGTTCATGGGAGCTCAAGGACACTGCAATTCCAGCCCTGAGTTCTTCTCCTGAGAGCCCCTACTCTACCCTCATCAAGGCCAAGCATGATAAATTCAAACCCGATGCAAATAAATCTCTCAACGTCGCCAACACTTCCCGGGCCACCTGTGGCGGCGACGCCGTGTTTGATGTGCGGGAACGTCAACACCTCCTTATAGCCGATGATAACAAACCTTCTCTGGATGTGGGTCCCAATGGTCGTCCCCTCTTCACTGCTACCCCCTCACTCTCACAACTCACTCGTGAAGACACTTGCAGCTACTTCAAGTTCACGTACACTCTCTAGCGCCCTCTTCTTTTATTTCCTGCGTGTGATTTGTCCCTATAGGCTTTAGCTTGTATCCATTATTAAATGTTGTCTCATTTGAATTTGCGTTTGCGGGATGCGGTGATTTAGACGACAGGGTCTGGATGCAGTGTTGCCGGAGGGATTGCCTTCGGGTATGGTCAAAGAGTTCGAGGATTCTATGCGAACTGCTTTGCTCGTTAGGCATAGCTTTTTGGATCTTCGTGATAATTTTAGGCGCGTGGTTGATCCGCCGATGTGGCCCTATAACGGTAAAGGTGTGTCTGGTCTTTACAAGTATTTTTTATCTGAATCTCTTTTTGATTAGAGCGTCGAATGTTTTATGGATCCAGTTATAATTTTACCCTCTAAATTGTACACGACTAGGTTATGAGTTTAGCAATTTAAATCATAATGCTTTCTTTTCACTGCGTCTCTGATTAATGCTCTCTGGAAGAAATTCCCTCCTACTTTTAGACTACATAGTCTTTCTCTCTCTCCTAAACTTGAAAATTTTACCCATGCCTCTTGACGCGTTGAAATTAGTCTCATGACTTGCTAACACAAACCGTCAGATTACCTGTTCTACGGGGGCATGCATTATTCACAATCTAGTGGTTGAGTTTATTGCCTTCACCTGTCACGCTATTATGAAATTGTTATTCCTCCTTCGTTTATCTGAGAAGAGGAGGAAGGGGAGAGCAATGATCCAGTGGATGTATTTTGATCTTGTAATCTTTTGCTATGAATGAATGACTTTTTCAATTAAAAAAAAAATTGATATGACCGTCAGACCTGCAAGGCGATTCATGATCTATTATCCTTATAATATACGTTTAAATATAGTTGTGGTTAATTAGAGCCTATGATTGTTTACATCTCAAAAATTTGATTGTTAGATGCCTTTCTTGTTCACATTGTCTACACTTCCTGATGTGGAACTTCAAGAAACCTGTCCAATAGAACCCAGCACATACAGAAAAAGTTAGAGAAGCTAGCTTGAAAACAAAAAAAAGATATTCACCTAAAACCCTAAGAGAACAAGTTCCTAGATCCTTAGCCATAACAGGCCTTGCAAGGAGTTGATCAGATACTTGCTGCCCAAAACCTTGCCGAAAGAAAAACTTTATTTGTACCTTCCTGAATAATGAATAATGCTGTTTTAAGATACACTCAAAATCCTACTCCTATCAAAAGACTTCCTGAAACTCTAAAATAATGACTCTTGGAAATAATTAATTTAAAAAAAAAAACTATGTAGATGTGAAGGGCGAGGGCTCCATCTACAAAAAGAAAAACCCAAAGATATTGTATGATTCATTCAAAAACCAGGTTTGATGCCCTTCTATTTGGATAGTTCTTCAGTATGTTCCAACGCCTTGTTTTATTATTATCACTAGAAAAGATAAATTGAAATGTGGTCCTTGTTCAATCTTCTTTAATTTTGCTTTGATTTTTTTTTTGTTTGTTTTTGTTTTGGATCATAGAGGTGCACTACACGTTGGTTTAGTTTCACATTCTTAAAAGCCTTTGCAACTTTGTTTTTTGTAGGCCTCTGGGTCTGTACATTTTTCACAGTCAATGTTATGTCTATTTAAGTTTTTCAGGCCCCAAGGTTAGAAAGCAAATTGTCTTAGATGGTCCTGTCAGCTGTGGCAAGAGCATTGCACTTGCCATGCTTGTCCAGTGGGCTCGGGAAGAAGGTTGGCTTGTATTTTATGTTCCCAGTGGTCGTGAATGGACTCATGGAGGATTTTTCTATAAGCATCCAGAAACTGGTCTATGGGACACACCTGTCCAGGCTGCAAATGTTCTTAAGGCAGGAACTATAATTTTTCCATTTTTCTTTGCTTTTCATCTCTATTTCTCTTTGCTTGTATGTATTTTTTATGAGTGAGAATCCCTGGATATAACCGTTTCAAGGCACATATTTTATTGCTTGTATGACTAGCCGACCACTTCTAGTGGGATAAGACTTGTTATTGTTGTTTAATATTACTCAGATACAGCAACATGTATTGCCTGATGGATTCAGCACGTTGAGATTTTTTTTTTTCCGGTGTGCATGTTTGACCTGGAGATCATTGAGATTGAACTAAAGCAATTAATAATCAATTCTCAACTCAGTTATTTTATTTGAGGAAACAGAATTAATGAATATGATGTTTTGAACTTATCCCTTATGAATAGTTTGATTGATCTAATTTCAAACCGAAATATGATGAAGTCTTTGCAAGAGTGGGGTTGGTTTCTCCCTGCTGCATTTCTCTCCACTATGCCTCCATTGTTCAAATTTTAACATATAGATTACTTTGTATTTTTAAAAATTATCAATTTTGAACCATCAAATTTATTTCAGTGGTTATCAACTGCAGTGGCTTTTTCACTAAGTGGAGAGAAGTGGTTTCCCTGCAAGAGCATATTATGCACCCTCATCATCTCTCATTATTCTGTGTCATTTTTCTACCTTTCTTGTTGAAATGCCACAGCTAACACTTAACATGATGTTGGTTGTTTAAATAATTATTCTCAGTGAAAGCATCTTCACCCTTGCCCCCATGAGAGTTATCTTTAAAGCGAAAATCCAAATCTTACTATATTGTACATTGTATCATCCAAAGATTTCCTATTGAATATAAATTTCTGATTTTTTATTTACCTGCTTAATTTATCGCTAAAAAACAAACATTTGTATGTTACTGCTAATCAAAGTTATTTGTACTCCTCAGATGCTGGCTCAGCATGTGGCTGAAAATTAAAAAAAAGTAAGTTTTATATAGGTGAATACTGCTGGTAAAAAATTTAATAAGTGCCCTCGGGTTGTTTAGGATAGTTTTCAATTGCTGATGTTTGATGATAGTTCAAGCGGACCCATTCATCCACATTTCAGTGCCCTTTGGGTATGCATGCTAGGATTTGTGGGCTCCCAGCCCACCACCCATAAGTTTCTTTGTAAATTAGGCTTTTGCAGTGAAGGATGTACAGAATTGCAATACTGTTTCTGCTATCTCTGCATTTCAAGTAGAATATGAGTTCATGTGCCATACTGCCACGGTTGTCAATCCCAATATTTTTTTTTTGTTTCTTTTGATTTTGATTGTATAGTAGTGTATATTATGTTATGATTAAAACTGATATCATCTACTTAATGAATCATGTAGTCATTTGAATGTTCTTTTGGATCTGATGGTTCTCAGGATTTTATGAAGTACAATGAATCCTTCTTGAAGCAGCTACCATGCCAAATCTTTGATCCAATCCCCCTGGGTGAGGGTGCTGGTGTTGGATGGTTAAAAGATGTGGATTCCCTGGCAATTCCTGAGGGTACAAATTTTTATGAGCTGGTAAAGACTGGAATTGATCAAACACATGCTGCTGTTGGAGTGGTGGTTCGGTTGAGGAAAGAGTTATCACTTGTTAAAGATATGCCTGCACTTATTGCAATTGATCAGGTAAGACTGATTCCACTGAGTTGATGTTAAATGGTTTTTAGTTCTTGAAAATTTGTTTCTACAGTATTTTGATCATCTTACTTATTGTTGTGGACACCTCTCTTCAGTATAATAACTGGTTTACATTCAGTGCGTATGAGGAGCCAGTATCAATCCATTCTTGTCGGCCAATACATGCGAGAGAGCTTACAATGGTTGGTACATTTTAATATAGAATCATATCAGTAATACTTGGCAATTCCCTTTTATTTAATGTATTTTTCCTTATGGAATTAATGACATTTAATGCATTATTGTATTGTTGTAAATCGATTCCTTGGGAATGTTGGTCATCCATTGTACTGGGTTAACGTTCAGAGCCTAGTGTTCTTTTCTTCTTCTTTTTTTTTAAGCGTCTTTCTTGCTATTACCCCGGTCAACAGTTTCCACGTCACTGTTGCAGGTGAAGGCTTTTAGGACAATGATGCATGATGATATGATGGTAGGAGCTTTTTCTCATTCAACTGCAGTAGGAAAGCTTCGTAAAGATTTGCCAGATGTTCCAGTAGATGCTCGTGTTATGTTTCCTCGTTACAGTCTGAAAGAAGCAGAGGCCGTTTGCCATTATTATTTAAGGTATGTTCACAAAATCTCTATCTTTGCCAGGTTGATAACATTGGTGTTGTCATCTTAGTATCAATTTCTAGTTTATATTTGATACAAGAGCAAGGGTTGATAGTCAGTTGATCAATTATTAAATGCAAATGATTTGCCTATTTGATATTCACCGACTCTCTTCCATAGCTTAATTTTGGTGGTTCGGTATTCTTATTTTGAAAGTATCTCGCAAAGATTGGGCGTTTTCCATATTCAGGCTATTGCATCAAATCATCAATCTATGAACATACCAAAGTTGTTTACTTTCTCCTGTATGTTGAGTGGTTTAATGAACCTGCTAAACTTGTCACTGAATCATTGTTTACTAAATCCATAGTCGCTTCTTTTTTCTCCCCAACATGAATCTGCTATTAATGTAACTTGTTGAACTGTTGGCTATAGTTACAACAATAATCTACCTAGATTGTTTTAGGAAGCAGATTTGATTTTGTGGAAGTGACTCACGATTGACTGCAACCAACCTCTACAGCTTGACAGATGGGTTTCAGTGGGATTCTTAATTTGTTACCTTTTCATTTCTGACAGGCAAAGGCTAATACGTCGTGAAGCATTCTCAGAGGAAAAATGGAAAAAGATGTATTTCCTGTCTAATGGAAATGGATCTGAGATAAGGGGGTTGGCTCCTTTCATGCGTTGAATGACAACAGAAGAATTACTCCCAACCCCCCAAAAAACACGGAAGAATGTGGGGGGCAAAGCATGTCATTTCGACATTTTCCTCTTAATCTTGATGCTTTACAATTTTTTGAGAACTTGCTTATTGCGTTATCCGCTCAAATTTTTCAGTGAGAAGCAGGTTGCCATAACAATGTACTGTCATGTAAATTGATCTACAATTTCATTGGAGTTAGCAATAATTTTAAGGAAAAATGGTATTAAGGGCTTTAAAAACAGACTTTATTGTAATTTGGGCTTAAATGAATCTGATATTGCTTTGCAAGTCTGGAGGTTCTTATTGTCAATTTTTTTGAAACCAAAAGGATGATTTTGTTCTTTGTTTGATTTGAATTCAAAACTTACGTGAATTCTTAAAATAACGAGATAGACCATGCACGATATAACATTCATTATGTATAAGACAATGTTTATGCATCTCAACAGAAAGTTCATACATTTTAAGTATTTCACTACCCTTAACTTTAGTAAAAATGATTAGGCAGATCATGCACGACATAACATTTACTATACATAATATGATGTCCACGTGTGTTGAATAAAAAATTCATACATTTTCAGTATTTTACTAGCTTAAGCTATAACAAAATGATGTTAAGCAGATTATGCATGACACAACATTCATCATGCATAAGATGATATTCACTCATGCTCAACAAAAAATTTATGCATTCCAAAATCAAGGACAATTACATCATATAAATAATATTATGTTGGTATTAGCTTAGGTATTAAAATAAGTACTCACATGAAATTTAACATAATATTTCAAGTCTGATATATATATATAAAGTTAGTCATTATATTTAAAATATCTAACAGTTGCTTTTCCATATACAAACAAAAAATATTTGTGGTTCTCACTTACTCAAAAAATATTTTGAAAATGCTTTCGTATATATAATTATAGTTGCTTGTGTACACTAAAGAAATATAATGTAACCATTTCTCATGTTGGGTTAGGATTCTTGCATGTCTTGTGATTGTGTCTAGCCTTTCCACATCTTGAACAATGATAAATCTTCTTATTTTGAAAGACTCTATCCTCCTTGTTCGTGGCCTCCCGGGAGGATGGCTAGTTAAAGACGGTTGCAAGAAAAAAAGTTTGTGATATATTCTCATATGAAAATTTATGTAATTTCAATTTATCATTATGTTAGGCTTAACAAAATATTAAAGTTAGGCAAATAATGCATAACACAATATTTACTATGCACAATATAAGGTTCATTTATTCTCAACTAAAAGTCTATAAGATCATATTTTATCAATAGGCTATGCTTGACAAAATACACAAGTAAACAAACAATGCACAACATAATATCCACTATGCACAACATAAGATTCATATATTCTCAACTAAAAGTCTATACGATTCTACTTTATCAATAGGTCAGGCTTAATAAAATGCACAAATAGGCAAACAATGCATAACATAATATCTACTATGCACAATATAAGGTTCATTTATTTTTAACTAAAAGTCTATAAGATTCTACTTCATCAGTAGGCTAGACTTGACAAAATATATAAATAAGTAAACAATGCACAATAGAATATTCACTATGTACAATACAAGGTTCATATATTCTCAACTAAAAGTCCATACGATTTTACTTTATCAGTAAGCTAGGCTTAACAAAATGCATAAATAAGCAAATAATGCATAACACAATATCTACTATGCACAATATAAGGTTCATTTATTCTCAACTAAAAGTCCATAAGATTTTACTTTATCGGTAGGTTAGGCTTGACAAAATGTAGAAGTAAGCAAACAATGCGTAACACAATATCCACTATGCACAACTTAAGGTTCATATATTCTCAACTAAAAGTCCATACGATTCTACTTTATCAGTAGGCTAGGCTTAACAAAATACACAAATAGGCAAATAATGCATAACACAATATCTATTATGCACAATATAAAGTTTATTTATTCTCAATTAAAAGTCAATAAGATTTTACTTTATCAGTAGGTTAGGCTTGACAAAATGCGCAAGCAAACAACGCACAACACAATATTCACCATGCACAACACAATCTTCATATATTCTAAATTAAAAGTCTATGTGTGTCCAGTTTATCAGTTGGCTAGGTTTAAACAAAAATTTTTTAAGTTTATGAATAATAAAAAGTCTGTATATAACATGACAAGGTCCATTTATTAACAACACAATGTCCATTTATTTCACATGATTTGTGTGATTAAACTGAATATTTGAAAAAGTTTCTCAAGTTAATGAAGAAAAAAGTCCGTATATAGCATAAAAGTATCCATTTGCTAACAACACAATGTCCATATATTTACAATACAAGTTTGTTGATATGATACACATAAATATCCACATAAGTTAATTGCAAAGTTTGCATAACGTAAACTCCATAAATAACAACATAAATTTCATAAACAACATTATACCAAAACGTTTATATCAGTCGCAAAAAAATTATGTATCAAAAATAACAAAAAGTCCATAAATAATAATTTGTTTTCATTAAATGAACGTGAACGCGTACATTATGATTAGATAAAACTGATATGGCTCAAACTCTCTCTATATCCTTTTTTGAAAAAAAAAAACTGATAATGGCAGATGCAGCACTTGGTCTATTCTTTCCGCACTATGGCGAATCATTTCAAGAAGCTACTTGGCGTGAGAAGAATGTAATTGGATGAACGCCTGATCGTCTTCTCCACACCCATCTGGATAAAAGTGAATCGCCCACTTATACTTGTTGAACGAAAAAGCTTTAAATAAGAGAAAGAAGGAAGAAGGAGGAAGAAGAAGAGAGGGAATAGAGAAGCATGATAGGAAGGAAAATAAATTTGATTATTGTATTAGTGTTGAAAGAGGAAGAGAGAGAAGGATGAGGGAGGAAGGACGGAGGAAGAAGCAGCAATTTTCATTTGGCAACTGGTTATGAAAGAGACAAATTAATCATTTCACCAAAAAAACATAATTGCAAATGAGATCTTTAGGTCCTCAGAATAATTTTAGAATCTATTAGATCTTATCTATAAAATTTTTACTTTTTTAAGCCCTTAATGCCACTTTCCCTAATTTCAATGAGTTTTCATATTCCTATTGGCTTCTTTGTTTCCGTCAGGCGCAGCCAATGGAGCGACGCTAGGGTATTCAATGCATGTAGCATTTGGACATTGACCGTGGGGAAGTTATTTATTTGCACTAAAATATATGATTATGATTGGCGTGCCAAAATATATCATTATGATTGAGGTGGCGACTGATGCATTTGAACATTTGAAAAATCTTTCGATGCACGCAATGCCCATTCCAACTTTCTATGTTAATAATTGGTTTTGTAATACTTGATGTGTACTGGGGAGAAGTCAATTTCCAGCAGTCAAAGTCAGTAACGTTTCTTCAATTACGGCTGGGCTCCGATGCAAGCTTTATCCTTTTCAAATATTGAATGCAAAATCGTTAACAACTATCAGTGAGTACCAAACGAAGAATAGTTTAGATATTTCGTTGTAACTTGCAAGGCATTGTATCTCATAAACTAATTAGAATGTCAAGACAAAGCTTATCCTAAACTTTTGATTTGTATTTTACATGGTTGTTTCTTAAATGTTTTTATGTATGATTCAACTAGCATGGCAAATTACAGTTACTAATTGTTACTAATTAAATAAATATTTAAAAATATTAATACAAACAGAATACAGTCCAAGATAAAAAAAAAAATAAAAGAAAAATTACATTCAACAACCACTCAAAATACTTATTTATACAAAGAGTAATACAAAATAAATTGTTCAAATGGGACCATAAATTTGTTTATTGAATAAAACTTGTTATTAATCATTGTTTCCAGAAAACACCCTTGAGTAACCTTTGGATGTGATTATCCCAAAAAAGAATATATCAAATCCAATTATCATTCACAAGTCACTCGCTTTCTAGAGAAATCATAATTATAAATTATATAATGATTGATACTAGCTAAAATTACAAAACTGCTTATCAATGGGCTGAAAAGATTCTCTGACGTACATCAAATCTTGTACGGTCAACATCCTAGGGTCAGAACTAGGCCTTCTCAACAAAATGCAGAGTATTCAAAAAATATACAGCCGTCAAAACAGCATACCAAAACCATCGCCACAAAACTTCCGACCAGCTTTCTCTGAAGCTTTCAAAGCGTAAAACTCCCCGGTAGCTCTAACGTGGAGCTTGAATAGCAGTTCTAATTGCTAAGGCAGCTCCAGCGGGTTCAAGATTCGCCACAATGCAAGCAATATTGGCAATATCGGTTTGAATTCATAAATTTTTGTATGACCTTAGAACGGAGACTGACACAGCGGACAAGATGATTTATGAGAAGTTGAAAACCATTTGTAAAGGCAGGCAGAATGAAATTTATGCTTGCAAGTCTTGCAGGCAAGTCGTGGAAGGGAGTGGTTCGTCGTGTGAATGACACTGTAACAGATAGGGCACTCCTCAACGCCTTCAAATTCTTTATCAAAGTTGCGCTTCCAAATTCCTATAGCCTCCGCTAAAGCTCCATTCTGCAGAATCAGAAAAAGCATCAGTTTAACTTCACTGCAATCCTCTTCATGTACAGGCCCCAGCATCAATTGAACAGTAGTCATTCACTACAAGCATGATTTTCTGCCAAGAGAAGAGCTATTTGCAGTTAAAATCTTTGCCTCTCACCATAAGTTGGTGCAATATTCTCCACATTTGCCCACACAGGTACCAGAAGCCTCCTGTAAAATGTTTACACACGACACGCGCACAAATAATTGGACTAGAATTCAAAGCAAATTACCTGATTTCGAACAAATAACATCATTGACATCAACCATTTCCTTTGCTTGACCTCACTTATCCCTAGGCTCCTGGTGCAATCAACATCTACAGGCTTAAGTGGGTAAGATGAAGGAAGCCGGATGACTAGATCCATTCCTGTTTCATCCTTGGTATACGTAGCAACCACCTCATTCGCTGATTTGCTCACACTAACCGAGAAATTCTCATCGCTGAATTTTTTTTTCTTAATCTGCATGCAAAGAGGGATATATTAGAACTTAAATCATCCATATATAGATAAATGCATGCTGACCAGCTAATACAGACCCAACTCCACCGTAACTAGGTGTAATTTATTCTCAGCAACTGTCCAAGCATGAAATGAAGCACAGACATTAAAAAAACAACACATCAATAGGAAATTACAAATTGCCAGGCATTTAAGTTTCTACCATTAATTCCATTCCCCTCCTTAACAATCCGGCAATATCATGGCATTACAGTCTGGCATTCTCAGATTTATTGGTCAGGATATTGTTAAAGTTGCAAGGCTATTAGCCTACCTGCAAAGGATAATATATATGTTATGGATAGTTCTACCATGCCCTTCTAGGCTTGATGGAGATTCGATGCCCCATGACAAAGGAATCACTGTACAACAAACGTAACAAAAAGTGATAAAATAGTCTATCAAGGCCATGGAGACCCACTAGTAGGTCTTTTTTATGGCCACTAGAGTTACATTTGTTGTAGCATGGATCAAATTAGCCTGTTAGCCATCATCAAATGTACTATGTTGCAAATAGCACATAGCTTGTTAACCATCATCAGTCATCACCATCATCAAATGTGCTAACGTTGCAAATAACACAGCCTGTTAGCCATCGTCAAGCAGCTTGTGGCACCAGTTTGTCCCGGCCATAGTCAACTATTTCGTTACTATTTTACATACATCACAATGCAATTCATTTGTCAGTTTGGAATTGAATTTCCTCAACTCAACAAGTGCTCTGCAGAACTATCCTTCCTTTACCTATGGCATAACTTGGGTATGACTGAAGTGATCAGACCATTCAATTACAAAACTTACATAAATTTCTTCTACTCTTTCTTGCGAATTCTATTTTCATATCAACAAATATTGGTTGGGATAAAGCCTTTTGATCTATGAATAAATAAAAATTTTCAGGTTAAATGTTTGCCAAACTCATTAAAGATTCCTCTAAGGAATCTTACACATAGATAATCTTCACGCATGCATGCACGCAAGTGCGTGCCCACACACACTTTTTTGGCCAACGAACTCCATACCTGGGATAATTCATTTGCAATAAGAGGAGGGCTGCAGTAAGTTCTCGTGAAGGATTCAATGACAGAAGATGTGTTACGATCACGTAAATCACTGAACCAGCCGCGGATATAAGCAGGAAGAACACAAAGCATCAAGCCATATATTGCTCCAGCAAGTGAAGAAAATTTCACTGATTCAATTGGCCAAAGAGATTCCACAGAAAACAACAATGAACCAGTTCTGATTGCACGGGTTGCAGCACTTGCAGCCTCTGTTAGACCAGCAGGGAGCTCTGCATCTTTCTGCTTCAGACTTTGTACCATGAAAAGTTCTAGAGGAATATGCTGAAAAAGGCAATCTAATACAATGGGAGTAGCATAATCTTGTACGTATTGGACCAGTCGCTCCCTTAGAGATGACGATGAAGGCAATGCCCATAGATGTGACATCAACAAAGACCAAGAAAGGAAGAGGTTTGCCTGCAAAATTTTTTGGACAAGGTGTATTGGGGGTGGGCATATCAGCAGATGATTACAGCTAAAGATGTAGAAACACAAAGTAAATAGGCCTTGAAGATTTAGAAAGTTGCTTGAGCGCAGTTATGTGAAAAACATTGATGACATATAAAGTATCCTTACTCTTTGTGGTGCAAGTAGTTCAGTTTCAAAAACTTCATAAGCTTCCACTTGAACCATGCAAGATATTTCTTCTCTCAAGTGGACTTTTTCTTCCAATGAAATATCAAGCTGTCTGGAGTCCTGGTCGCTAGAAGCATTGATGTCTGAGTTAGAAGCATTATCTTCAACAATAGCCATGCTTAAAACAGGTTCATTTGAGAGAATAAAATAAGCAGCAAACTGCAACAAAGGAATTGGTTTGGAAGAGAAAAGCACAGAATACAAAGAGCTAACAGATCCTTTGCTTAATCCCCAAAAATCAACTGATTTCACCGCTCTATCTCTAGCCTGTGATGAAGAATTGACGACAACACAAGCTACCAATTCCCAGAAAAACTTATATTCAACCCGAGATGATGCTACCATTAAAGCAGCTTCTTTGGAACATGCATTTGCAACAGACTCAGAAATGCCAGTACAAAATAATATACGAAGAATACCCTCTGAAACTCGATCCATGACAGAATCCAAATTTTCAAATTTCAACGTATCAAAATTATCTTTCCCTTCATCTTGTTTAAGTTTAAAATGCTGGTGGCAAAGCAAAAATGATAGAAGAGCATTTTCAGCAATTTTGATGGGCATCGGGTCTGTAATCAGAATAATTTGTGCAATTTTATCATTCAATACATCCAACTTTCCAGATGCACTATCAACAAGAGCATCATTTACATTTTCAGCTATATCCTCCATCATAACAGCTACTGCTTGAATCCAAGATCTCAGGTTAGACAACAAAAAGTCCCAATCTTCGTAACTAAATTCTTTCCAGCAATAACCTACTGAAACAAGCATTAGTTTTGATAGCAACATCTGCACCACTGGAAGCTGATTGATAATTGCTGATCCACCAGGAACACGCCTTTGCTTCTGGAACAATTCATATAAAAGTTTCCTTTCATCAGAGCCAATGCTTCTCCCTGGTTTTAATGCTTGCAGACCTTCTATTGCACTGAAAGGATAACAGGCAATAATTAGCTGAAGCCAATCTTCCATACCTACAGGAGTCAGAAATAGCTTCATTAGCACGATATCTGGACAGGAAGAAGTTTACACCCAATGGACAGAACCATTAGCACTATTACAAATCAACACAATCAACTCAAAATGCATGTAAGCAAACTAGTGTCTTGTGCATGTGGAATAATATACATAGATAACAAAAAAAAAATATGCATGTTGGTTCGTGCACACAAAAATATGCTCATCTCAACTCCTATCCCTCCAATAATAGTCTGGTCTATGCTGGACACATGATCTAAAGAGATAGGAATTTACCTTTTCCAGCTTGCCATGTGACTAAAGATGGGAGCCTTAGAGTCCTCTCAAGCCAGTCTTTTGTAGTATCCTGAAGAAAATTTTCTTCCAAAGAAAAGTTATGAGCATCTCTACCAGGCTCCACATGCCCACACAATGATTCTAGTAGTATTCTTATGAGCAGAGGAAGAATCTTGAGACAATTTGTGTTCACTTCTTCACCAATATAAAGCTTATTCAAAAGTAGTTCAAGAAAATTCATAGCCTTCCCTGTGCCCCATATGTTCTCTTTGAACAAAGTGGACAGGAACGAAAAAAGGGCTCTTAAAAATGGTTCCTTAATACCTTCAATTTCATCATTTGGAACTGGCCACACACTGATAAAACTCTCAGTGCCATTGCCTCCATAAACAAGAGCACCATCAAGCAAGATGCTTAATATCTCATCTAACAGGCTCTCCTGAGAAGAATTAACTCTCTTGACATATGCACTGAGTGTGGGAAAGAAAGAAGACACAGCACTGCTTCCTGGCCATCTCCATGTGCACAAAATTTCAGCCACAAGCCAAGCACAAGATGTGACCTCTTCGCTTCTTTCAGTTACTGATGGATTGCACATGGCACATGCAGCAAAAACTCTATCAACCCCAATCTTTGTGATTAACTTGTCAATTAAGGCGACAAACCTTTGGTGTCCTGAAACCTGCATTTGGCATATGTTTGTGATGAATAACTAATACTTCTTATTTGTTCCAATTTTTCATTTACATTGGTACATTACATAGATTTAACCATCTATTACGTGCTGAAACAATATAATATTTGTACATTAGCTTGGCCATAATGTTTTTAGGAGAATTATAACTAGATCCCACACAAGAAAATTGTTTACTGCACGGTTCATTGACAACTGAACTAAATTACATTGACAACACAATCAATTGTCAATGCAGTTTAGTTCAGTTGTCAATAGATCTTGTAATAATTAATTTTTTTATGTGGGACTTCAATGTAATTCTCCCTAATTTTTTTGTTATATACAACACCTTTGACTTGGATAAGCCAAAAGTAATATTTCTGAGAATAAAATAACTTTTAAGAGTACAAGAACTGGAATGAAGCAGGCAAAATAACTAAATTCCAAATAGTGTTTTTCACTGTTGGAACAGAGTTTAGAATTCTATAATTGAAGGAAACAGAAGATTACTGTTGCAAAGTTAATTTGAAGCAGTGCTGCATCAATTAATTGATCAATCAATGACAAGAAAAACATGATGATCAACAGGACAGATTAGGCTTTGGTTCAGACTAGTAACTAGAACAGCAAACTGTTTCAATACAAAATTCCCAACACTGATGTATAAATTAAAAAAAAAAAAAACAGACCAATAACCCATACCATCAAGTCATTATATTCTATTTAGCAAACAGAACCATGCAGAAAAACTTTCACTTTATGCTTTTTGTGGAAACATTCAAATTCAATAATACCTTTGTCAAGACAAAATTTTGAACAATGAACATAGGCCACGTCTCATCCCTGCTCAGAAGCTGATATAGCAGCTTTTGTTCCTCATTTCTATCAATGCAAAGACACTCAAGACCTTCAAGCACCCATGTACAGCTTAATGATGTAATTTTGTCACTTACAAGTTTGTCTTCAATGAATATTGCAGATCTTACTGACTGCATTAATATAGTCTCCAATCTACTACGAATATCTAAGGAAAGATTTTTCCAAAATTGACCATTTATTCTGTGACGGAAAGCATGCACGGATTCACCAAATGTGAACCTATCATTGATTTTTCTCCTTGTTTCATCATCAAGAGAACCATCCAGAGCTTTACCTAAATTACACTCCCAATCAATGACAAAAATTGCAGATAAAATTCTTGATACTAGGTCACTTTCACTGTCAAGTGCCCTCAAGCAAAGGAAGCTACCATCAAGTACCTCAAGAGCAAACTGAGCTACCTCAAAGATGTTGGCAGAACTGTCAAACTCTGCTCTGATCTTTGCATCACTTCTAAACACAGAAGCTACATACTGAACCCAAGAGAAAGAAGAACCCTGGATAAAAATGAGCAACTTCCTGAAAATTTCCTCATAGATGAGTTTCAATGCATTTCTGGACACAAAATAAGTAGAGCTTCCATCTGTTGAACAACCAAGAACAGAGCTGCAGGTAAAACAAATAGGATTAGATTTATGTCCATATGCATCATAATGCCTGTTTTGAACCTTACAGCACTAAGTAGATGCAAGCCAAAAAATTGGTGAAGTCTTCCCTTTACAAGCTACAAATGCAAACTACACTTCTCATCATTCAGATGAATCACCAGACAACAGAAGATGCTCGCTTTCCTCTACCTATCATTCAATTGACTCATGTATAAAAAGCAAAGCAATTCAGATAGTCACTAAAAGAAAACTACCAAAAGGCTACAGTTACTCCAAAATTACCACTGTGGAATAGATTGTAGTGTAATCTAATTACCCAGATCCTTTCTTCTGCCTCAATCAAGAGGCAACCTAACAAAGGACTCAATCAATTCAATGCTCCCCACACTTCATTCCTGTCTTTAATCCACCAAATAAAAAAGGCTTATATTATGAGATCCTAGTCAGACACAAGGCCTTTTGTCAGCATCATCCTCGCTCATTCTACTGAAGAAACTTAGTATTTGGGAAGGGAAAAAAAAAAAACCACAAAGGGCCTTTTTGTGCTCTTAATGAAAGTTTTACTGCATTATGTCTTTGATAAATTTAAATAGACATACCACAAAAACCGCACGTAAGCATTGTTAAAAGGAGGAAGGGAATGGGAAAGAGCAATAGCAGCCGATTCCAGGCGCTCATGATGCCAAAGATCAGTATCGGTGCCTTGTCTATTACTGCAATCTTCTTTGACCTTCCTCTTAGTAATCTCAACTCTTGCTTTTTGTAGGAGCATTGCAAAATTGCTGCACAATCAGCATCTAGTAACCCTGGTGAGCATCCAGAACAATTTTGGCTAGATGCATAATTAACAATAAAAGACCATTGTTCTGAGAAATACTCATCATCCAGTAATGTCAACAACAAATCAAGACGAGCACTGGTTGAGCAATCATTTCTCTGCAGACACCAAGGAACAAAAATATACTTGAAGATTTCCATGAAGTCCCCAGCCTCCAATTTTTTATCACCATCATGTAGAAGCTGACTTAAAGAATGCTCTCTGTTTTGAATGAAAATTTCTTGCACCATCTTCTGCGGCCCAAATATTGAAATAGCAACAGATAGAAGTATCACTGTATCTGGTGAGTCCTGTTATGAAGAATACAGAGAGTCAGGGTGATGGAACCCTGCTGGTTTAACAAACTAAATGCAGAAATAACAAGACAGCAGAGGTAAAATAGAGGGAAATCCTTAGGTTTTGCTATTAATAAGATGAATACTGAATCAGAGTTACAAGGGACCTCACTGATTCAATACAAAACCCTATTCCCCAGGTTACAAAACAGAATCACAAAAACAAAGACAAATCACAGTCACACTCATACACAAGCACACTCACTAGGTTTCGAGAGCCAGTCTCTACTTACCACACTCATGATACAAAAGACATAACCTGCTAAGAGGATTCAACTTCCACTATAAACCCCAAAAAATAACCCACACAGTCTCCCAAAATACCCCCTCCTAGGTCAGGCCTACAACCACTCTAAAGCAGCCCTTCCTTTTTATTTCTTTCTCCTTAACAATAGAAGCAAGGTCAATGTTCTGACCCTCTGAAAATGCCTTTCCTCTTTCATGCATCTTTCTAAATTTCCTCTTATAGGTCTGAGCAGCAAAAGTGATTCTATCACAGGAAATATTAAAAAGACAATACTGTTTCTTTTAGAAATAGACAGATCCAATTTTGTAAATTCAACAATATCAAAAGCCAATGCATCTGTTAGCCCTTTTCTTACATATCAAATAAATACCGATGTCAAGTATCTTCTAATGAAAAATCTTCAACTTTTTAATCTCAAAATTCTTGAACATTTTATCACCAAATTTTGGGCCCAAGATTTGATTCCCTATTATCTCCACTTTTCTCATTGTGTGGGGTTGATAGAGTAACATATATTATGGGATTGTGGGTGAAAATGGATAAAGTAGTGGATCAGTTCGTTAGCATAGTTTTAGGAGTTGTTATTTTATTTTCTGTTATATTCCCTCTAGACTACAATATAAGTTACTGTTAACTAATTTACATTTCTCAAAAAAGTTGGTTAAAATCTTGATTTTCTAAAAAATTTCACATCTTTCCAATCGTGCCTTTGAATGTAATAATTATGATATTTGACTTATTCAAAACATCATCATAAATTACTCAATAAAGTAAGGGTATAATTGAAAAAATATATATAACACCTATCTAATGTGGTCCGGAAGGAGTAGATAATGAAGAGATATTATTTATAAATATCTCAATTAGGATTTGTTTATTATTGAGTCAATGTCACTTAAGATCTAGTCAGTTATTTTCTGATTTATTTATTACTATTTAATATCTATTTTTATATTATAAATAAGGTAGAAGCTAGTAGAGAGATTGGGAGAATAGATTTTCATTATAATTTTGGGAAATTCTCCTTAGGTTTTATTAGTAGTATGAGTTTAAGATCCTTGCTCATATTCTAATAGAAATTTTCCTTCATCTATATTCCTGGTATGGAGTTAGATTTTAATTTCATATTTTAATGAAGAATTTTCTTCCTTCTTTCTCTCTACCTATCATGGATCCCATTAGGGGTCCTTATTGGTATTTCCTTGCACAGGTTATGGAGGGAAAAATTAAAAACAACAGTAAGTCACCATATGACTTGACATCCTACATATTGGTTCCTCAAGGCCAAGACGGAATGGGGCAAAATACTGATGATTTTATAACTCGCACGTTATTAAGATTTCATCTCAGTGACTACTACCTAAAGTCCAAATTTAAAAAATATTTACTGTTAAGAAGACCTTGCTGAAATAGTTTAAAAGCGAAATTAGACCTAAATAGGTACAAAGCACTATACACAATTGAAACACGAATAAGTTCAGTGAATAAGAAGTTAACATGAGCACGTAGGCAATTTCTAAGACAAATCTATCAAAACGTATCCCTAATATACTAAGTAATGATAAAACGGTTTTCAAATGTACTACAAATATCCAAACTGTTAACACATCATTAGTAAACTCAACAAGAGAAGAGACAAAATAACAAACACTATCACATGCAAAGTAACAACTTACTGAAGATTGTATGAATGAGAAAGACTTTGCCAACATTGGTCCCACAAGAGAGACTAAGGGCCATGTTTCACCTTTCAGCACTGCATGTTGCTCCAGCAATGACATGAACAAAATGACTACTCCAATACACTCTTTACTAGCTTCTTGCTGGAGTATTTTGATGCAATTCTCCTCAAATTCCAGAAGAATGGAATATAGAAGTTTGTGATCCAGTGTACGAATTTCCATAAGAACTTCAACAATGCATTTCCCCAACTCTTGTAAATAAGACATAGGATACTTTGCAGTCTGCATATTTACTGTTTTCTTGTTAAGGGGAATATTGTCCTCTATAGAATCTCCCACTTTTCCTGAGACTCTCTCATGACCTTTGGAATTGTAAGATGTAAAAAAATCCTGCCATAAAAGCCTCATTAGGACATTCTCAACAAGAGTGACTTGGAACTGGCTCACAGAATCTGCTCCATCACAATATCTGATACAAATGGAAACTGATTAGTGGGGTTACAGAAAGGACAGAGGTTCTATTAATATTATCTGTTCAGGGTAAGTGGATAAAGACAATCCTTCAATTTTGCAATTAAAGACAGCCGCATTTAAAAAGGAAAAAAAGAATGTGTACCTTGAAGCATTTTTCAATGACCACATAAAACATTCTTTGAACGCCTGGAAAAATGCAAGTCTATCTGCAGACCAGGAAATTCTCCTTCCTGCCCACAGGTTCTTGAAAAAATCATAAAAAAATTTGTCCCCTCCTATGGATTTAAGAGGCAATGTGTCTAAGAATAAAACCAAAGCTGGATATGAGATCTGCTGAGAACCAAAGCATCCATTCCTAAGAAAATGCCAAAAAGGATTAAGTACATTTTTCTGAATGTTCAGACACGTCCAGCCATCTGGAAATCTTTTAGAGAAAAGTAATATGGCATCCCACATTGAAGGATGACTGGTTGGCTCCTTCTCATTGAAAGCACCAAGAATTGCTCCAGCAAGAGTTTTCAGATTTTCATTACTAAAAGCCTGGGGTATATTGCTTATCATGCTTTTCAATACAATATAAGTAGCTGACCGGATAGCAGGGCTAGTGGACTTCAAAAGGCCCAAAAAATATTTTTGATCTGTCAGCAACTTTTCAGCAAAAGAAACTGCAGCTCCCCTTGCCTTTGAAGCATGTTTGGGTTCTGCAGATATGTTCTCAAAACCAGATTGTTCTTGCTGCAGGCAAATTAAAACATCAAAAAGTGCAGCCAATGCTAACAATGATGATGATATCACCTACAAGGACAAAAGGGAGGAACTCTTAGAAGTAATATTGCTTGGCACCAAACATAAATTGCCTGAGATGATAAAAGTACACTACATAGCCAGCAATATACTAGAAGTAATATTGACACGCATGTACATTGAAGGTGATCCTTAAATGTAAGGGTATATGCTGGTAGTACTCAGTACAAATTAAGCTAGTTGGAGTCAGTTATAGAAGTTAGACAGTTAGTAGTTAGAGAGAAATTTGTTACATAGTGTTGTATAAAACACTTTACCCACTGTTGAACAAAAATCAACATCAGTTGCACGGAATTCTTTCATCACGGTATACCTGCTGGTACATCTCTTCCAATTCATCCAACGCTGCAGCTTTGTCAGACAAATTTTGTGGTGTGAGCTTTAAATTTTCTTCCAGATACATGAGGATCTCTTTTGTACATAGAAACAAAGCATCTAATCTCTTTTCCTGTGCTGGAAAGGCTGCCTGTTACCCACAAATGAACAGAGGGGTTAAAACATGATTCATGCGTAGCACATGGAAGGCAAAAAAGTTATGCAAGTGCAGCCATAAAAGCTTCTATCAGAGAATATACCTAGTTAGTCCAGGCACACCCAGAGATTATATGTCACAATAACTAATCTATCATGCAAGTGAGAACAATATCCACAATACAATTTTTGCATGCATTTCCACGTACATGTACACTTTACATTCATATAGTTACAATTACAATTTTACATTCTTTTGTGTGGGATCAATGTACCAATTTTATTTGAAATGCATAGCAATTCTCATTTTACTAGAGAATAAAGTGTAACAACAATATAGGTTAGAAGAAACAAACCAGAAAAGTATCCAGTCATCACAAAACACAATCCTCGTCATGCCTTTTCCTAAATGGAAAAATGTCCCCCACAGTTATGGTGGCTTTCACATACATTTGTCCACTTTAAAATTATTAAAATTATGGCAACCCATGGATCTCTTACACATGAAATTAAAGTAAACGATCAAGACAGCTGTTTTCCAACAGACACAGACCCTCCTCAAAAACCTTTGCATGAAGCATGCACCGAAACTGTCTGATAGAGCTGGTGATTCCCTAAAGATTTGGATATCATTTCCTATGACCTATGGTAGACAATTTCGGAAGGGAAGCGATTTAGAGAAGGCTTAAAAGACCAGTGGTTGAGAGATTTATCCCAAGGCTTTTATCTACAGGATTAAAAGGGTAAAGGACAAGTTAGGTTAGGTGTAGCCAAAAACATAAGTAGTGTTAGTAGGGGAAAGTACCACTTTTTGGCTCATTAAATCTGTTTTTTTTGTGTACAGGGAAGGGTGTGATGTGAGGAGAGTTCTGGCCTCTCAAATGCCAGGTTAGAGGTGGAGGAAGCCATCTTTCTTCATCATTTTATCTTCTGCTTGGTGTGTGTTTGTGAGTGACTTATATTTTGTGGTTGTTGTTTGGTGGAGCGTATTTTATGCTGTTTCTGTTTCAGTACGCTGTAATTTCCAGTTCTTTCACTTGCAATTCAACTTTGTTATTCAATAATAGTAATTTTCAGTCCCGATTTGTATTGTATTTTCTGGTTTGTGCTTGCTTAAAGCTTATTAGAATAGAGGGTTGCATCACTCTCTCTCTCTCTCTCTCTCTCTCACACGCACGCACGCACATACTTTTTTCTTTTTTGAGCTTACACTTTAATTCCAAAAGACAAAAATTGACAACTGGAAAAAAATATTAGATAAAGATATACAGAAACCAAACCTGAAAAGACCTTTTGGCTGCCTGAGAAACTTCAGGAACAGGATCAAATTGAGAAAACCACCAAGGTCCTATTAAGGTCTTCAGATGCAGAGCTAAGTCTCTCCTGAAAGGGGTTGAATCAACCATAAATATGCATACAGGCATAACAGCATGCAAAGAGCAAATTTATGAATCATAAAACTTTTAATGCTCTTCATATGTGAATTAAGTTTACTCCTAAAAGTTCTTAAAATATGCAAATAACACATCAAAACTACATGCCACAAAGTTGGCATGCAGTTCAGGGCAGGCTGGTTTGGCAAGTGATATGTCAAATTGAAAATTACAGCCATTAAGCAACTCCTTTTAAATGGTTAGGGTAGCATAAGAAGTCAGCACCAGTTTACAAAACAATGCTCTCATTTATTTGAAGCGAGCAACTTATATGTTGAATCAGACAGATAAATGTTCTCTCAAAAGTTAAAAATGGCATTATTCATTTATTTGAAAGCATTATACGATAGGGATTGTGGCCAAGTTGCTAAGACATCTATTTGAAGAACTTTTGTTCACCGTTTTAAATTTGACAAGTTGCTAAATTAGTGCTCCCAAAAAAATAGCAGCAAAATTTTTCCTGAACAATGTCTTATTTGTTGAAATAGCTTAAGTCATGCATTAGAAAGGCATAAAACATGCATAAGTTTTAATCAGTGAAGTCCAAACCCAATAATAGTAACAATGTTGGTCATGGCTTCATGAGTGGCTCGCCGAACCTCCCTGTTGTAGTCCAGCAGCAGCCTCTTATACTCAAACACCTACATAAGAAACAATTAAACAGTCAAGTTGATCACACTCACAATCCAAGCTTGAGGCAACCAATAGAAAGGCATGGAGGTTTTTCTCTTTAGCTTAAGCGTACCCATTGGGGAACAATTAGGACAATGTCCTTTGCAGACTTTTGCTTAAGCAGATCGGATAAAGATGCCAGTGCTTTAAGCTGTTAACTCAAAATAATAATAATAATCAGAAAATTAAAAATATTGAGTGGGTAAATATTAAAAAAAAAACTCTTGAAAGAAAAATTATACTCAATACTGATACTACTTAGCTTTCTTTCTTTCTTGGACTAAAAAAATGAAGAACTTCTAATCAGCAAAGAATGAATGACAAGAACAAATAAGGATAAGGCATTGCCTTCAAAACACAACAAAAGATTAAAAATAGAGACAAGTAAGAAAACCTTAATCCATAAAATTGCAAATCATTGTGATTTGGTGCATTTGGTTGGAAAAGAGTCTAAAGATTCTAAAAGTGCTTCGCTGAGATGAGTTGGATTTGCTCTTAAACAGATGGAGCATTTGAGAAATTTGCTTTCCCTTTCTTTCACATATCACACATGGTTTTCTCAACTTTCCGAAAGAGTTGGACATCCAACCTTGACTAAGAATCATTTCCGTTAAGAGAACATACATGACTCAGACGTCACAAACTATAACACTTCCAATCATCCCATGATTTCCAATAAAGAAGGTAATTACACAGTTCAATTGGCCTATTAATAGAACTTGTACAGTGTATTTACTTGAGTATACAAACCAGAGCTGGCTAGTACCCAAGAGTGAGCTGCCTAGTACATACTAAGATCAAGCAGCAAGTAAGAACCAGAAAAATGGTGCATTAAGAATAGATATTTTTCTTCCCCGACAAATATTAGTGAAAGTCATGCATATACCTTCGTGGTAGGGTCCTTCCTGGCTAGTCTCTTCAAGTGCACTGCCATTTCACTATCTACATCCTGAGTACCCGAGAATGAAAATACGAAACTATAATATTACATCAATGATCCCAAATTAATTATAATCACGTAGTAGCTCAATTCAAGCCGCTCAAGTTCAAAGATTCCAAAGAAGCCATAGGACGAGAAAGGACATACTGCAACTGGCACTGAGTCATCGCTTGATAGAGAAGAATCCAGCCGTGAACTACCAACATAACCACCGAATCCCATGGCAGCACCGGAACCCGACGGCAAGAGCGACGCCGCAAGACTGCGGGAAGAAAAGCACCCAAAAACCATTAAAAAAAATTAAAGAGAACTTGATGAAGGTTGCTGTAGAAGCTCCAAAAAGGAAACTTTGGTATAAATTAGCATAAGCAATTCACCTGCTGCTTGAAGGTCGTGCCTTACTTCTACCTCCTTCACCTTTCGGCCTCCCCATTATGCTACTTGTGAGGAAAAGCACCGTCGAACACCAAGGGAGGCTTCGTCAGGAAAGGATTCGCCGACCAGTGCTGGGTGGAAAGTGGAAATTTTATTATTATGCCGGGAGGCGGTAAACTGGCTGCCGCTGCTAGTCGAGCCACGGCGATCTCGTAATCTGCTATGGCTTAGTGCCAGATGATGAAGAATTACTTACGAATGACGAGCTGCCACGTCACAAAGAGAAGGGTAAGAATGTCATTTCAGATCACCTTCTATATATTCCCCCTGCCCCAAAATGAACTAGTCATGTCAGGTGTTTTTGGCCAGCAAGCATTTTTTTTTTCCAACTTAAGAAATAAAAATAGGGTGAACTCTAAAAGTCTAAAAGCCTCTTTTTTTTATCTCTCTAACTAAAATTATATCAAATTACATACGATGTTAAAAAATCATTATCATTTATATTTTTTCAAATAAAATTAAATTATGATAATATTCACAAGCAAATGCATTTTATATGATAGATAGTTTTATTTTTTTGTCGGGTAAAAAATCTTACACGATAGATATATTATTAGATTTAGATATTACATTTGTACCTTTTCAATTATGTTCAAGTCAGACTTATACCGTCTATACAATTAAATTCTTATAATATTATTTACTAAAAAAGTAGAGATTATTTACATGCATACTTATGACACTTTTTTATTTTCCATTCCACTCACATAATGTTGGCTGAAAATTGTGTTTCCTCATAAAACAATGAAAAATGACACGGAAGTACAAGGAGAAACAGTTCGTGTTATTAAATTAAAATGCAAAAATATTGGAAGAATGACAATTAAGTCAAAAGAAGAAATTAAAAATAGTTAAATTCCTAATAATTTTTTTAAAAAAATTAATTATAAATATTGATTTAAATAATTATAAATTTAAAATTTGTAATTGTAAATATAATATTTAAATTCTAAATTTAACAATTAGTTTGCAAATTGAATTTCTTCTTATAACTGTATGAAGTGATATTTATAATTTATTTTATAAAAATTTTTATTAAAAATTTAACTGTCATTAATTTATTTTTTTAATATTTTATTATTATTCTTCCAAAAATATTCTTAAAACTTATACAACAATTCATTTTTTCAATGATTTCATGTTAATAATGTTAAAGAAGTAAATTCAAAACATTTTTTCTCTCACACAATAATGTTATTAAACCATAATAATTTTCGGGGAAAACAGCATTTCACCTTCTTAAATTAAGGTTTGATTAAAAAAAGTTAATAAAATAACGGCATAATTTGCTATAGTTGAATACTTTATATTATTCATATCAATATTAGTATTTTTATCATTTAAATTGATATTTATTACATCGACTGTGATTGATTATTATGGAATAACTAAATCTATCTATTAACCACTAACCTTCTGTTAAGTAAGCCTTCAACTCACCGCAATACAGAGAAGGGGCAGAACATGCATTAGAACTTTGTCCTCGCAGCCGAAGATAAACATCTAAAATTCTTAACAGTGAAAAATAATATATAATTTACATGCCATCTTCAAGAAAAATTATTTCCTTCCATTCAAAAATATTACAACCAGAGCCGCAAGCAGAGCATGATCAAAGGATCCAGGAAAAATTGTCAGCCGAAATTTTTTCCTGCTGACGAATATTTGGTCGAGCTTGTACATCAGGCTAGTCTGCATTAATGAAAAAATTAAAAAAGAATCAGTCCTTAAAATATTGCGACTTGATGCACTTTCTACGCAAGTCTGTTGAGTTTCAAAAGTCCTTTCTCTCATCCATGATCCAGTTGCATGCTATGATAAAATTGTTTTAAGTGAAGTGCACTACCAACTCTCTCCAATTATATACATTGTAATAATAATTCTTCTGCATAAATGACACTAGGAAGAAAAGACTTGGATAGAAAGAACATATAATCCTGCTCTCCAGTTAACTTATAATGGGTAGAAGAGTTTTAACCACAGAATCAAGAATGCGTTGCTAGGTTCAGGAAAAGCACTCCCATGTGATGTTTTTAATAAACATGATATACGTAGACACATAAAAAATTAAATCCATGTCTCGTCCCATGCATAATGCTGATGGAAAGCATAATGTTTTAAACAGTTACTTGCGTGGGGTTACAGATACAGGAGAATAGCGGTGCCAAGTATACTAAATGCCAATGTTATTAAAATCAGATCAAGCATTGAACTGGTCGAGATACCGGTTCACGGTTCAAAAGATCGGACTGGGGTCGAACCGCTTGTAATTAAATTAATATATTTTAAATATTAGATATTAAAAATTATATGAAAAGTAATAAAATAAAGAAAAATTATTCCTATAAAGTAATAATCCGGTCCCACCATAATTCAACATTAAGGATTCAACATTCAATTTGCCGTAACGTAATAATCCAGTAGGAGTCAAACACTCAAAAGCGAAGTCATAGCAGGAAGATGGTTAACCGCACTGAGACCTGTGACGCGAGCAGTCTTGGACAGAACGAGCAGCCAAGAACAAGCCGTAGGAGCTTGGGAAGACTGTGACAGCGAGATCATTCACTGACACCTGAGGCTCGAGCAAGATGAGAGATCGAGATCGAGGAAGAGAGGAGAAGATGTCGTTCGAGTTCTGCAGCCTCAACGCGAGCAAGATGAGAGATTGAGATTGAGGAAGAGAGGAGAGGATTAGAGGAAAAATGCCCTTTTCGGGTTCTGCCTCAACACGAGCAAGATGAGAGATTGAGAGCTTTAGGTTTAGGAAATTAGGAATTTAACCTTCAGGAAGGCATGACTGAACGAGGATCCATTTGCTGTTTATGACTGTCTCAAACCCATGGTATTGAAAACCGGACCGGACCGGCCGGGTCAACCCGGAAACCGGTGAACCGGTCCCCTGTCCGGTCTGGGTTTGCACTTAACCCGGTGAGGGAGTGAACCGGTGTAACCCGGTCAACCCGGTATAACCCGGATAACCCGGTGGGTTGACTGGGTTAACCGGGTTAATATTTTTTCAGACTTTTACCCCAAAACGACGTCGTTTTTGATTTTTTTTTTCATTTTTAATTTTTCAGAGCTCTGAGTTCGGAAAAAAATAACAAAAAAAAGTAAAATTGAAGTCAAAAAATAAAAAATTAGAGATAGAGCATGCTAAGTCCAAAAATATAGTATTTTATTATTGTTAGACTTTTGAGTGGTTGGATTTGGTTGAATGTTTTTATGATTAATGTCTTTTTATTTAAATTGTATTATTTTAATCATGACCGGTTTGCCACCGGTTCAACCCCCGGTTCAACCCTGATTGAACCACTAACCCGTGACCCAGTGCCATGACCGGTTTAATGACCGGTCCGGTTTTACGTACCTTGCTCAAACCAGCGTTTAAAAAAAATTGCAATACCACGTCGTTTTGCAAATTTGGGGAGGAGGGAAAAAAAAAACTATAGAACCCCCTACGGTTCAGGGCCGGTTCATCCGGTTTGAGGGCAGTTCCCTCTCTCCCCGGTTATGTGTCATTTCTGGACTGGCTACCTGACCGGTTCCGGTTGAACCGGCCGGTCCGGTCCATAACCATGCTAAATGCAGCTCTGAACTCTCCAGCCAAATAAAAGTTTCTTGGGCTACATTGTTATTATTTACGTTAATAATGACGATTGTGATGGTATATGCAAAAGAGAAATGAAAGACCAATGAGTTTAAATCAGAAATGAAGGAAGAGAAATTAAAAACCCTAGGAAAAGGACAAGGAAATAGAGCTAAAAGCTCAGAGCGAAACAATTAAAGGTCAAATTCCAAAATGAAAGGACAGACGAATAAGGAGGATCGATTGGAATGAAAAAGAGCAGGGCAATTTTGTTATGCGAGAAGCCGATTATGGAGCAACCAGAGCATGAAATGAGAGGAGAAAAGACATACTACTCATTCATTGAAGGTAGAATTAAAGTTTACAAATAGCATTTCAGCTTCCACAAGTCACTAACAAATTTTCCTAATTTAACTCCTTGAAACAAGGTTTGCCCATACTTTTGACAGTGGTGGTTAGTTCCAAATATAACAAAACATGACTAAGCACAATATGTTCAGCTAACGTTGTGACAGCAGCCATTAACAGCTTCCGTAAATTTCAGTTAGCTTTGTCATTTTTTTCAACATGATTCAACGAGGTGAGATCAAATACTAATCAAGCATATCATGAGTTTTACTCATCCGATATTCTTAAGCAGATCCCATGTACATTAGTCATTAGCGTAATGTAAGTGCAGTATATCTACTTAAGAATTTTTTCCTTGTCCAACTATGAGTGTATTTGGTTTTACATTGGAAACCATCAAAACCATGCTTTTGATTTCACATTGGAAACCATCAAAACCATGGTTTTAGTGGAAGCATGGTTTTGATGATTTCCAACATAAAACCAAACATGCACATATTAGCTGTATTAGGCTTGCATCTAGAATGATGACTTATACAAAAGTGGACCAAGTTCAACTGAAAATAAAACACACAGAGAGAGGGGTAAGAAAGCTAATTGAATCTTCTGCTGAAGTCAGATAGTCAAAGAAATAGCACGCACATAATAAGAACACAAAGCAGTAATATTTAAGAGAACTGTGGCAGAAAGCTTCTATTGCAATGGCAGTGAGTGAAGGGATAAGGTTCTACCTGTGCCAACAAGGAATTGCCATTATAGATGCTACATGATCTCTGGAAAGGGGAGCCTCTAACTTTCAAATCACAGGTTGTGTCTTCTAATATCTCACCAGTCAAAAACACCTCCAGCTCAACTCTATTGAGCTTTTTCAAGGACCTCTGAACTCTAAACACCAAATCCTCGTCATTGTTACTTTCCCCTTTGTAGCATTTCCAAGACCCGGTCTACCAAAACAGATTGATTCAAATATCGATCATAGAAATAGAAGTCTCACAAGAGAGGTTCCTTTTACTTCAAATTTCTTAAACCCAAACATTTTTTCAACAAAACCATGCATTTAGGAAAACCAAATTTCATTTAATTTACTCTAACAAAAGACCATACAGAACGTCATTGTTAACCAAGGTTCATTATTGGCTGAGCTAATTCTAGAAATAATTACGTGCACAACCAATAAACCAAATTTTAACAAAATTTATGCATCAAGGAAGATCAAATTCCACTTAGCTCCCACAAAATGCCATTGCTAAGAGGTATTCACACTTGGCCTGCGCTAATTCTCTAAATCCTAGACATCAACTTTTTGTCTCTCACGAACATGAAAAGCAGCGTTTCCCGGGAATTTTCGCTTCTCGGGAAACAAGAAAAAGAAGTAAGAGGCTTACATGGTAGCGGTAAATTGAGAGGAGGGGTTCGCCGGAGGCGTCAAGCAGTACTTTCTTGTAGTTGTTGGAAGCCGATGGTTTAGGAGAGTGAGGATTGATCCTGAAGATTAGATTGTTGGAATAATCGAGAAAGGCGAGATGGCCACGTGGGACTCCGGGGTGTTTCTTGGACACAAACAGATCGATTGCAATCTGACCATCCACGGGGTACGCGATCCCTGAGGTTTCGGATTCCATAGCTTGTGTTCCCAAGGATAACAAAATTACTAAATGAAGCCTTTTGGATAATTAAGGATCACGGCGGAGCTGTGGGATCAAACGCGGGGCGTGGATTTATTTGAAGAGAAATGAGAAATGCAGACATTCCTCCGCGTGTTGTTGAGGAAGCCGCCGGGAAGATGATCGACGCTTGGAAATAGAATAGAATAATCTCACACGGAAGTCTGCGAACAGCTTTTCAGACATTTCTTGTGTATTTCATAGCTGGCTTGCTGCCGCAAGTTGTTGTCCCAAATTTTATTTTATTTTTAAATGGCGTTTTTTTTTTTTTTTCCCTGGGCTCGTACTATTAATCTGAATGTAGTTATAATCTTAACAAAATGGTCGATCTAATTTTTCATATTTCGAAACATAAATGAATAGCACTTGTATGTTTAGAATCCTTCGATGCAATTATGAATTAGAGAACACTGTTGTAATAAAATATAAATTTATAATCATTAATTTAAATTTAAATTTTAATTGTTTAAATAATATAGACATTCAATATTTGTATTAAGTACAGTTGTCGAATTTAAGTTCCTATTCAAACTTAACATACAACTCACATTCTCTCAAAGTTTCATATTTTACTAAATAATATATACTAGTGCCTATTACAAGATCACCTCCCTTGAACAAAGTCGAAGATTTAAATCTTAAGAGAGAAAAATATAATAGAAAAATTCCTATTTTAGGAGGATAATTTTTAAAAATAATGCCGATCATATTGGGATGAGTCTCGTCCTGATTCAAAAAAAATCAGGATAAAATAAGAAAAGGGTTTGATACAGGACATGAAATTATTATCGGAATGTCTCATCCCGTCCTGAATATTATATATATTATTTTTTATTTTAAAAATATATATTAAAGATATTAATTTTATTAATATAATTATATTTATATTAATTATTTCAATTATAATTTCAATATACACAATTCTTATTTAAAACTAAAGTTTTTTTATTGATAATTTCAATGCTATAGATTAAGCAGAGCGATATCTTTCTTTATAATATATTAATTATATTAATATAATTTATTCTTATATCTATTTATTTAATAACTTTTATTTATATCGTATTTCTTGTTTTATTTTTGAAAGAGTAATTTAGCTTAGCATATCTCAACTAAAATAGAAGAATAATAATTTAATGTTGTGCTTGATTGACCTGTTGTTACTACTTTTATAGTCTAAAGATTACTTGTAATTGCAATTATAATGTGTAATTGTAATTAATGTAATTCACTAATTGACTTTAAATTATTGTGATTTATGTACCTGTATTGTTTTGTTTTTAAACTTAATAAATTATATGATTTAAAATTTTAATGGATGTTATTATCTAAATCTTTCTTCGATTTTGTCCAATTTCTTGAGACGGTAGGACATTTGATCTTGTCTCGATCCCGTCTCGATCCCTAATGGGAAAAGACGCGAGATAAATATTCAATCCTGAACTTTTTTTAAGGACAGGACACTGGACAGGGGTGTCCCTATCCTGTGAACACCCTAATTACTATTCATAAAAACCAAGGGTCAACATACATCAATTACTGAGCTACAAGAGCAAATTTCATAAGTAGCCCGTAGAAATTTACTTCTTACTCCTATGTGTGTGATTCCATAGAAAATTACTAATAGTGTATAACTTTTTATATTTAAGCTTACTAGGATGCTTCTATGACTCACTGGGGACATAAATAAGGGACAATTAAGAGGAAGGGAAATGCTAATCTAGAAAAACATAAAAGCCCTTACTCTATCCAACATGTTGATTGAGTTTATGGTGTAATCACTACTAAGAGCAACCCTCTTACTCAATCTAAAGTGATAGTTTTAGTTTCATATCCCTCCCTCCTTCAGCTCTCTCAGTTCACATTACTTCATTCATGTTGAATGCTTGAACTAAACCCAAAATGCTCAATTACGAGAGTGCTTTCAAGAATATGAGATGCTGCTGTAGCGATCCCTAAGGTGGCTGAGTGAAGACGTTGACAGAAATAGGATTATGTAACATCATCCCCAAATTAAAACAACTACTTAACATCTGTTCCCACATTTTAATAAATTGATTTTGCAAAGAAGTAGGAATAGTAGTTTTAGTTACCACACCATTTCCCAGTTTCTTATATTAAATAATTTTTCTATTCATTCAATACCTAATTGCCCCATCTTTTAGCGGCATCATAGAATTTTAGTTATTTAGCATCTATGGTATGGCAAATGGAACTTTTGTTATTGTTGTCAATCTTTTCTTATGTCAAACTATTTATTAATCTCTATTTTAGCCAAAAATGAGTTGGCAAAAGAAAGATGTGCTGGAATATGCCATGAAACTTGAACTTTCATCTTCTTCCCATCATTATCTGTCTTTATCAGCTTAGTAAGAATATCTTTTTTGATAATTTTAATTATTATTGGCACCATGGGAATAGAATGGCTAACCTACATATACTATTTCATTGAGGACTCAGAGAGTCATTTGAAGTGGCCCCAGTACCCTCAGAGGATGCAATAAAGCAACAAAGTTCAATAGTTCCACAAATATCACGAAAGCCCAACTGCACCTAACATCCTGTGCAGAGAAGTGACTAAGGATCCATTTGGTTTTCTTATTTTTCACATTCAGAAAGAAAAATTTTACTTTTAGAAAGTTAAAAGTTTTTTGGTGAAATATTTTGCAGAAAAGTACATTCAAACAATGATTGAAAGTGAATTTCTAAAACATAACTATTTAAATTGAAAAGTAAATTTGAAAAGTAGAACGTTATTTGACCATACTACCCCAAGTTTAATATCTTATTTTTTATTTAAAAAATAGTTAATTCATTAAAAACATAATTATTATTTCAACAATAATAATTAGGCATCACGTTTTTGCATTTTAAATTAAATAATTAATCATATTAATTTTTAGCATTAATGTATAATAAAAATTACAAATCTTTATAACATTTTTTAAAATTACAAATTAAAAAATATAAATTAATTTTTAGCATTATAGATCAAAATTTATGTTATTTAAAATATTTATCACATTTTTTAAATATTTTAAATATATTACATTTGTATAATAAAAATTACAAATCATTATAAATTAATGTCCTTTTTGGTAATTGTACATTCAAAAGCACATTTTACTATCACAAACCAAACTATTTTCAGTGTATCAAGCTGACTTTTGAAAAAATATATTCAAACACAAATTTGTTACAATAACTGACTTTTACTAAATTGACTTTTACCAAATGAACTTTCACTAAGTGAACTTTTAGTAAACTGAAAACCAAACACATACTAACTTGCCTAAACAACTTATCCTTCAAATTTCAAATAGACATAAGCTCTGACTACTTTTATGCATTAGAGAATTAGAGGTGAAGCAATGTTATTCCTTCAAGATATTCGCATACACTTCACATCTCTGACATTATGTAGTCCATCACATCTACAAGAAAATCTAAAATGAAAGAAATGACTAGGATTAGCAAAACAAATGATAGGTTGTGATAAGAGAAATAAAAAAGTTGACGAACAATGATAATTATGACTATCGGCCTGCACCTTCTTTTGAAGCAAAAAAGGGGCGTGATCCTTATAACATTTCCATGAAAACCACCTTTCCCAATTAGCACTCCCATATCTAAAAAATTGTTGTAATCAAAATTTGTTGATATTGAAGAATATTTCCACATCATAACAAGATACAAAAATCATAAATACATTTTCGTGAACATAAAAATGTCACGAAGACAGAGTCTGGAATAGACCTTTCATCTATTACATGATCTACAGCATTCCAACTATACAGGAGCTTTCAACTGACAATCTTTCATAAGTTCAACACCAAACAACATTCCCCTACCCCTTATATCCCCAATAACTGAGCAAGTGAAATGTGTCAAACATTAATATTGAAATATCTCACCCTATCCCAGGAAGCCAACCAAAAAGCAAAAAAGAACAACAACTTACTTTCATGCTTTTCCATTAGCAAAGAAGGATGGCCTTTTAAATATGACCTGACAATAAATGCATCCTGTTGAAGCTTTTCCTTCTCAATTACTCTTAAAACAGCCCAGCAACAGTGTAGACTAGATTTCCTCCAAATGTGCTAAAGTAAGTATGTTATGTTAACACCTTTACAATCTGAGGAGATGTTATCACCACACCAATGGGTACATAATTACCAATTCCTTAATACCATCATGAATAAGGAAACTCAACACTGGGAGAAATAAAGTGACCAAGCCTAGCAAAGTGTGTTGGTTATCATTGGTTAAAGCATAATGAATAATTAACAAAAGGTGTTTTCTCTATACGCGACTAATGAAATTTAGACAAAAGAAGACATCAAATTAATATACTCATTCAAGCTTTCTTTTCAATCCATATGAAACTAAACCATATTTATAGCTAGCAGCAAATCATTAATATGTAAATCAATTTTTTAGAAATTCATAGCATTTATAAGCTATGAACAATATGATTCACCATAAACTTCATGCAACATAGAAGACCCCATAAAATCCTAAAAAATTAACCTTTAACAATTAAGTAATTAAGAATCATTAATAGGATATACATGGTATATGGTTAGAGGAGGCTAATAAGTATTTTTAGTTGAAATTTCAAATATAATTTGGGTCCAAAGTAAAATTAGGTCACTTGAGAATCAAAAATTAGAGAAAAATAAGTAGAAAAGCCTTTATGCCACATGCCGCATTGCATACGAGGTGTGCTGCAGTGCATAGGGCCAAAAGGTGAGAGATTTTCTTTTTTGTACCATATGTTGAGGTGCGTGTGAGGTGCATCGCAATGCATAGTATGAATTCTACAGAAATAAGTTGTGAACCGATGTGAAAAATAGAATGGAAAAAAAGGAAAAACAAAGGAACTTGTCCTTGCTCTGCTAAGGCATAATCTATGAGAGGATGTAAGAAGGTTTAAAGCTTTAAATCATCTAGGTAAGATTTCTAAACCCCCTTTCCCCCTTTCTCTTCTACTTTCTCAAAGACTTAAGTTAGGGTTTGAATGAGGATAATGATTTTTGATCCATTTAGGTTATGGGTTCGAATCTATTGACTCAAATGAAGTTAATGGGAGTTTTTTAAAATATGTAAACCTAATATTGATGATTTTAGTAGTTGTTGGATGGTAAGTTTCATAAATGTTTGATAAACATTAAGTTTGTAGTTATA